ATTCTGACCCTATTTCTATCACCATTTGCTTCTCATCTGTCCTTAGTAACTGTGATTGTTTCTTTTGTCATTCATCTAGGCTTCTTTCTTTTTGCTACAGGAAATGACTTTTGGCATACTTCTCTAAAATCATCTCTGGTTTCAGTTCACAGTTCTGGCTCATAGTCAATTAAGTTAAGCCATACAAGCCTGTTATTTATGTGTATATAGAACTCTTCAAGGATGTTATTGAAGTGGTATTTTGGCACTATATTTCTTTTGATCTTTTCCAGATTTATTCTGATGTTTGATATTAAGAGTTCATGGTCAGTTCTGCAATCTGCTCCCTGCCTTGTTTTGGCAGTGAGAATACTGTATTTCCACCTCTTACTTTCAATTACATTGAATTTGATTTATGTATTGGCTATCTGGTGAAGTGCATGCATATAGTAATCTGACTGGTTGATTGAAGTATGTTTATGATAGACTGTTGACTTCACAGAATTTGATCCCTAGGCCAATTTGCCTACCACGTTTGATTTCGCATTGTTTTCTGTTTTTACATTCCAGTCACTTAGAATTACCATCATGTCTTGTTTTGTGTGTCAATTTCTTCTTGAACACATCCATAAAAGTTTTCAATATCTTCTTCTTCAGCATCTGTTGGATTATGGTTATATTGATAGGTTTTCCACAAATTCTGATTGATATTAATTTGGTTGGATTTGGCATTATAGCCCTTACTGCCCATGTAACACTTTGCTTCACAGTTAGAGCTACTCCATTTCTTCTGTCATTTCCAGAATAAAACAGTCTGTGTTTGACTGAAAATGTCCCATTCCATTCCACTTTAGCTCGCTCACAGTGAGAACTTCCAAGTTTAACTGTTCCATTTCCTGTTTTATGGTTTCCAGTTTGCTTTGGTTCATACTTCACATGTTTTATGCTCCAATTATGTGTTGTGCAACATCAGACTTTCCTTTCACCTTTGTGCATATCAGGCACTTTACTTCCTTTTGGCTTTGATCTAGTTGCCACATTAGCAACAGTGTTATTTGTACTTACCCTTTGCTCCTCCCCAGCAGTTTGCTGAGTGTCTTCCAAATTCAGGCAATATCATTTGTTTTTTTTTGGCTTCTTCATCTTGGGGTTTTCAAGGTAATAAGACTCAGAAGCAGTTTACAATTGCCTTTCTCTGCACAGTAGTAACCAGAGTTACCTTTAGAGTTACTGTAATTGTCTGTGAAAGATCATCTGCCACTGCTGTTGCCCTTCCTGAGTTTCTTTGCCCACATCTTCATTAGAAATATCTATTTTCTTCTGCTGATGTGACCATTCCTCCTGAAGAGGGTGGATGCATCTTAGGTGTCTGCACCCTGACCATTCCACCTTGGGTTACCCTGCTAAAGGCCAGCCGGGTGAGAGAGTCTGGAATCCTGACATTTTCTCTGCTTCTCTGACATTCTCAAATCCCCTTACCATGTTACAGTGTGCATTCCGGAGGGATGATACTCCTTGTACAGGAGGATTTTGTAGAGCAAATTCAGCAGTTTTATACAACGGCAGAATAGATACAAAAGTGAATAAAAGCCATTACATACTGCATGAATGCTATTTTAAGAATCTTGCATTTATCACACTTACAACTTGTACTCTGCAACTGACCTGGAAAAATGACCCCTTTTCAGAATCAAATCATTATCCTAAATCATGCTCTATACTTAATCCACAAATATTTTGTATGTTGTCCTGAGCGCTTGAAGAAATAGGACAGGGTATAAATGGATGTAATGAATGAATGAATGAATGAATGAATGAATGAATGAAATATATTGGAAAGGAAAAATTTACACGTACTCCACTCTTCAATTACCTCATGGAGTTAGTTTAGATCTAAAATAGGTTCCCACTTTGTAAATGAATAATAATAAGTTGAAACATTAACTTTAACCTTAACGTACTTCTCTGTTGCTTTTGAATTCAAGGAATTATAATTTTATTGATATGTATGCAACCCAAAGCAACTCTTTGTGCTCCGTGAAGCTTTGCTCATTTTTCGCCATCTGCATTATTAGGAAACTTTAATTTCCAGCCTTTAATAACAACACATTACAATCTTGAATTATCTCGTTTAGATAATTATAAATTGTCTTGAGGGGTTGTTCACCTTTCTAAATGAAAGGTGAGCAGGAAGACTCTTGGTCTACAGCTCTGATTACAGGAGCAGTTAAAAAGTTGACACCCCACCACATTTACTTTTTTCCCTTTTCTCTTATTTTTTACTATATATTTTTATGACACATTATAATATTCTAAGTTGGTGCAATTTAGACTCTTCAGGCATTTTTGTTTGCATATTTTGAAAGGACTCTGGAATGGATCTTTTCTTGATTGATGGTGTCTAATTTGCACAGCTGTTTAATGTTTCTACTTTAGAACTAAGAATTATAAACAGTGTAAACTGATCTTGGCATGAGAATACTAGCTGTGCTTCTTTTCTGGCTTTTAAATTGAGATGAAGGACAATGGCACTTTCTGGACAGCTCAGATTTGAGGCTGAGATGTTGGCTGTGATTCAGATTTTAAGGCATTTCTGCTTATCTACTTGGAAATAACTTTGGAAGGGGTATTCTCTTAATGTCTTGTTTGAACTTTAATAAGACTTTAATTTTGCATTTGTAAACTGTCTCATATTTTTATTCAAGAAACGTGGACATTATAAACTAACCTTGGTTGAAGCTCTGTGCAATGGAAGAGATGGCTGTTTCTTTCCTCCATAGCCATTTTCTGGGAGAGTTGCTGGTGGTTTGAGCTGGGTCATTTTTTGTTGTTTTTCATCTAATCTATACATGATTCAAGGAACAGTTATATCTCTGTGCTGGAACTTGGGAAGGCTGCGATTTTTCTGGGCCTGGTCCCCTTTTTTTATTGTGAGTTTTGGTGAGCAAAGAATAAGTATGATGCACCACGAGAAGTCCATTAGAGCCACCTATTGAACTCAAAGATTGGAAATCAAAGCCCCTACTAAGAAAGTCTGAACAATGCCTCTTTTTAACAAATTAATCCAAACTAGTATTTTAATAGAAATAGAATGGGACTAATAATTCTAACATTAATAGAAGGCTAATTGGCTTTATCTATCTCTGTTTGTCCTTTTTCTCTCCTCTCTCTCTTCTTCCTTCCTCCTTCCTATTTACCTACCTTCTTTTTTGATCTCTCCCCCACCCCACTTCTGCTTTAAGCCACAGGATTAAATTGTGAGCTTATGTACAGTTTGAAGAAATTCAAAAGGTGAATGTGTGGAGGAGCAGAGGAGAAGAGAAGAATTAATGAAAGAAGGAAACCTGAATCGGATGCTGGAAAATTGATAAATTTGAAAAGAGATAATTGTTTAAGCTCTTTAAATTGAATATTAGAGACAAAATGAAGATATCAAACATTAATGAACTTCTTTTCAAGAGAACTAAAGTAGTCTTTCATGAGTCTCAAGAATGTTCCTTTAATATAGTGCCAGAGAGCCTTTCAAAGAGTTATTTGGGTATATGATATAGCTGCAGCAAGAACTGCAGTTGCTTTTGGATGGAAATCATCAGAGCTCCCAACAAGTTAAGAAAAGAGAAATGGATTGGCAGGGTATGCTGTGATGGGAAAGTTAACTGGTAGCGTAGGCACAAGATTGTTAGAGGAATTTGATGATAAATGGAATTTTACTGTGTTCATTAGTGGGGATTGAGTTTACAAAAGAAAAGCAGTAGAGGAGTTGAAATAATTGGAGGATGTGTTGTTGTATAGATTAATGACTTCCTTTTTGTTAAACTTTCATGGAGTGTTGAAGGACAGGAAAAAAGAGAGGTTTGGGGGCTGATTGAATAGGTTGGACCTGTATAGAATTCCCTTGGCAACTTTGTCTATTTTAAGCTTGCTTTGTTCATTATCATTCTTTTGTTTCACATTCTTTTCTATTCATTTATGTTAAGAAAATAAAATTTAAAAATAACATATAATAATCTTGATCAGGTTAGCCACAGAGTTTAAAATATTGCTAGTAAATATGTATCAGGATGTATACATATTTTCAAACCATAGATTAAACAGGGATAGGCAACCTACTGCCCTTCAGACATTTGGACCACAACTAACAGCTCTAGCCAGCACGGCTAATGGCCAGGAATTATGGGAGTACAACAAACCACAGATTCTTGAGTTCAAACATCAAGAATTGATAAAGGGGAATTGGGATTGGTTTAGCATTCCCTTTACTTAACACACAGTTTTGAGGTCCAACAGACCCCTCCAAAGTCCTGGCAGGAGACTAAGATAGTTTTCAAAATGACCCTTGCTATCAGATTTCAAGAAACAATTTAACATAAAACCTGTCAAGTAAATTGGCCTCCACAATGCTAACAAAAAAGAAAGTAAACACATTAAAATAATCTAGGACTAATCCTCTAGATTAATGGAAGGGATTCAATGAACCCCAAGTAAATTACCAATATGAAATCAAGTGTTGCAAGCTTGCATTAGTGAGTTAACTCCAGCACCAGCATGGATTAGAATTTACTCTGTAGGGAAAGAGAACTTGTGGCACCCAAAGGAAATCCTTGGAGTCCCTTGTACTTTTTAAGACAATTATGTCCAGAATTGTTTCTTTCACAAAACCAGAAAAAATCTATTCCAGATATAACAGCACTGAACTGGGATTTATGGCATGGCCAGAATGCTGTAAGGATAGAATGTTTAAGCATTTCATAGTTCAACTTTCCCATTAACTGCAATAGAGGTAAATCAGACCATAGGATAGCATAAAGTCAGAAGCACAAACTTCCTTGTCATCCAAAGGAGGAAGAAGGAAGGGAAGGAGCGCTGCATAAGCCTGAGGTACAGACATGCAATTTACTGTTCTGATACTGATCAGCAGACGGGAACTCATGTAAAATTATCTGAGTCCCCAAAATGTACTCCATGCCGAGGCACGCTTATCTACATATACATTTCATAGTAACTATGGCATTTCAGAAGAATGAATCTCTGCATGATCGTTTATTTATGCATGGGTGTGTAGGTACATGACAATATTACAAGATTTTAGTTATTACCTTAAGAGCATTCTTCATGAAAACACTCACCCATATTTTGAGTAGAAAATCAAAATACACAATATTGGAATCTTGACAAACTTAAAGTGCGAATGAGAAAAGGATTAATAAAGATATTACTTCTCAAAATATAAATTTCCATCTTAATTCCATCTTATCAAAGTAAAAGTGACTGAATTGCAAGTAATCGAAACTGTAATATTTAATACAGTTGGCTGTTTTGCAAATAAAATATAAAAATCAGCAACTGAAAAAATAGGATTTGATCACTAAGTCCTGGAGTGCATCTTTCCACAGTGGTCTTTTGAATTTAAATGTGAAGGGCAACAGTACTTAAAAAAGATTTAAAACATGTACATTTTTTAAAAATGATCATAGCACTAAGACTCACAATCCACTCCTAAACACTTGTGCAGACTGTTTGTTTTTCAGTGTTAATTTTCCCACAACCTTAGTACATCATCACTGCTGATGACTTAGTACTGGCCCCACAATGGTCACATGCCACTCAAAGCACATATTTACTGATGTTAACATGACTCAGGATTAGGTTATTAAACATATGCCTTCCAGACATATGACTAAGAATAAATTTAAACGTCGAATAGCTTACAGTGAGTAGCTGTGCCACTATCACTGTGATTTAGAAGATTTAGCACACAAACCTGTGCACATTTAGACAGAAAAAAATCATACGACCTCTAGCATTTCCTAGGGATTTTTTTCAGTTTATACATGCAAAGTATTGCACCTTTAGCCTTTTGGCTAAGATCAATATAATATCAATTAATTTACACACAATGCAGAGGAACATACAAATCCACTTAACTGCTATAGCTCTTTAAAAGATTGCTCTGCATTTCTTCTCTACAATATTAACATATGTTATTGCACAAACTTAAATCCAGGTTAAGTTCTTAAAAAGAACACTCTTCTAACTAGTGTTTGCACATAGATCTGCTAAAATTACATTGTATAAAACTTACAAAATGTTATTTAAATCTCCTGAGAATATTACAAAATTACGTATACAAGCCCTTCATTTTTGTTTTATTTACAGCATTCATTCCCAGACAAATTTGTTTTACATAAAATTGTACTGATACTGTTTTTTTCACAAAATATTTTAGCAAAAATTGTGTGACTTGCATTTGAATAACCAGTCTCTTACCTAATTTTACATTTACTTCAAGCATTCTACACGTCTAAAGTAAAAGAGTAACTCAAAACAGATAGGTTACATGGTTTTTTTAGCACATAGAAAATGCTGAAGGCTTTGTGCATTTTTATATTTTGGTCAAAACAGTTACTGTATACTATTTTTTACATTTTGGCAAAAAGAAACTTCAACCTCTTACTTCAAGATAGTTTTGCTTTTTAAAGTTACAAATCTATACTATATTTTGTACATTAGAATAGTAATTTTCTTTTGCAACATTTTTGTTTGCCTCAGAAAGATTATTACAAAGCTAAATGCTATGTTCTAGGTGCTGGAAAAGTCAGCATCTTTGGGCTAAATGAAAACAACTTCACCAGAAAGAGTAAATAGCATTATTTGTCTACTTTCTCTTAAATTACTGATACTTTAAACATACAGAATTTTGTAAATGAAAGATTCTCATTCAATATCCTATATAACACATTCCTATACTTCATTCATCAGCACTAAAGCTTCATGTATTAAATTTTAGTATCATTCTTAAAACAGTTTTATGAGGGAGATATTCACACATATTTGCATATTTTTAAACAGGACTCTGATAAAAATATATATATTCTGTATATCTCTTGGTTTAAGGACAAGACTGCCATCCTGATAGCAGTTATTCGAACATGGAAAGTTCCAAAACAGTTTTTCCTTCAGTTCTTCACACTGTAGGAAGGGTTCAAACTGCAACAATGATCAACTTAGATCCCAGGAGTCGATTATTAATGGTAGTTCACTATTAGAATGCTTTCCTACTGAAAGTGCCAGTACAGTCTAGGTATCTGCTTATGGTGATTTTGCATATTTTACACAAGTACAATCCATATTCATAGCTAGCTAGGAATTTGGCAACAGACAGTTCTGTTTATTAGGCTAAGCAAGGTGACAGCATAAGGCTTCCTTATGGAATGGTCTTTAGAGTACAAATGAGAAAGACCATGCTCACCTACATGGGATGAGGCACTACCAAAATTAAAAACACAGAACACTTCAGCAACATACATATTATAAATATTTACTGAATCATCTCAGATTGTTTTTAAGCAAAATCAGAAGGAACTTATTAATCTTTAAGGCATCAGTGCATCAAGGACTAAAGCTCCAAGAAATAAATATAAACATCAGAAAATGTTACTGTGGTACTATCTGTACAATCATCAACATACTTTACACTTGTTAGCTATTTGTAAAATATTTTCCAGTATTAACACTGCTTTAAAGCATGAGTTTGACACCAGTTTTTGACACTTCGCTCAATGAGTTGTATCGATCAGGCAAAATTCTCATCTTTACTGTCCCATCTGCTCCACAAGAGAATATTTGGTTTGCTGGTCCTGTTTCAATTTGCATGACACCGGTTCCAAGATTTCTAAAAATAGACTGTCGAGAATGTTCATTGATGAAAGTATGAAGAAGTTTGCAGGAAGGCAAAGTCCATACCTAAGGAACACCAACAGAAATAAATAAATGTGGTTAGATTTTTGTTTTTCTGGAATCTGACCTTTAAAATTAACACTACATTTTCTACCATTAGCTGTGTTAAAAAGTTTTAACCAGTATGGTATGAGTAGCATACAAGGTTGGTTTTAAAAATATATGGTTCTTGCTGTGAGCTGCCTTATAAAGGAAGGCTAGGTATAAATAGTTTAAAATAAATAAATTAATGACAGATAAAACAGTACTAAGAAGAACCACAGCTAACAACATGAGAGGGGAGTACAAAACTTTAAAGACCCAAGACAAGGCATTTCTCAGGCAATGCTATAATAAACATATAAAAAATCTACTTAATGAATTCTAACAAAACTGAATTGTAGAATGCATTACCTTTATATTTCCTTCTGCAGATCCCGTAACAAAATATTCTTCTGTGGGATCCACAGCAATTGCTTTAACTGCAGAATCATGACTCTGGAAAAAACGCTGTTGCTGCTTTTGGTGAAGATCTATTAAACATGTGTAACCTTTTCTGCCACCTGATATTAGTAACTGATGTTTGGGGGCATATGCTAGGACAGTTGCTCCAGTATCATGACAAGTAAAGGCTGAAATCCAAATAAAAATAAACAACACTTCATTACTATTGAATATTCTTCGACTTGATTTGTCGTCACATAAAGCTAGAGAACACAAGTCTGGAGACGGGATGAAATCACCTGACAGCTCAGTCAGTGGAAAAGGTTTGTCAGAAGCATGCAAGATTGGTGTGGTTAGCTATGGAGTGAACAGCCACAAGAAGTTCTCCTGCTTTCTCCAATTCCATCTACTATTTATTAAACATCTTTGAATCTACCACATTTTATATCCTCTTTTACCTACAAGTTAACTCCATATACATATTTAAAATAAGGAGTTGATCCAAACTAATTGGAATTAAGTCACCAAACAGTCTATGCAGACTGAAAGGCTAAGACAATTGCTTAGAATTATTTATTTTCATCCATAGATCTAAAGTTCCACTCATTACATTTACAGTCTGGCTGTCTTCCTCCTCCCTGTTACAAGAAATACTGCACATTAGCAATGCTCATGAAAAATAGTTAAAGTTCAAAGGTTTTCCATTCCTATGCAGGTGGCTTTGGGGTTTATATTACAACATCTATCCATCTGGAGACCCACTTCCTAAACTAGTAACATCCATCAGGGGAGTGTCCCCTAACAAGATTTTATCTGATGATTTCTAGCACAAGTTTCCATCATGTATTGCCCAGTTTTATTTATGATCTTTCTAATTAACAGTGTGATCTGTTAGAACAACCCTAAACAGGTTACCAGAATCTAACTATAGAGCATGATCTTAATTTCTCAGAAGGCACTCAACTCAATGGGAAACATCACAATAATCTAAAATTTCTAAACTAAACCCATGTATAAATCTATAGTTTAAACCTTTTACATACATTAATTTATAAAATTAAACTTACCATGAATTAAACTACTGGAAGATGCAACCAAAGTATCCCACAGACAAATATTTCTAAAAAGATATTAACATATAAAACATTTAAAAAGATACTACTTTTTTTTTTCTAACCTGAGTGACAATCTAATGAGTCTGCATCAATGGTGAGCAATATCAGATCTGCATAATTTTAAATATATGAGCAACAGATGCTGTTATAATTTCTGTCATGGGTAAAACTACTTTACATAAGTTTCTGTGCAATGTTAACATTCAGAATTAAACTATGAAAAATAAATATAGATACTGCATTGCAGATTTCAGGCAGCAAAAAACACTGTTTACATCAAACTCCTACTTGGTCACTATGGTTTGTATTCAATAATGGCTTTGTACAAGCCAAGAATTCTTGCCAATCCCCCTCCCCCACAATCCCCAGTCCACTGCATCCTCATGTGCCTTGCAAAAAGCTGCTCCTGAGGGTCAGGGGATCCTCTGGAACAGCATGGAACATGAGGCCAGACCGTAGGGTGTGAAAACTGGGCCCTCTGCCTTGTGATGAACCACCATCTTGAGCATAAAGGTACCAGGGATAAAGCCCAATGTAACCAGTAATTTTTCATTTACCTCAAGGTTTACATGTATGAACTAGGAACAAACTTTAGTACCTGTTATCAGTGGACTGACCAGCTGTGGCTATCAAAGATGAAGAACTGATGAAAACAAAATCACTGGCTGTTTTGTTATGGCACTGCCATGTCTGAAGTTGAGTTAGAGATAAGAAAGAAGATTAATACAAGATATTATCTTACACATAATTTGTATTGGAGGTTATGATACAACTGGTAAAATATAGATATATATCAGTTTCAGCTCGAAGAATAAGCAACAAGTTCTTCCTGCTCACTTTTCCTCAAACTGTAGCACCAAGTGCTTTTGAAAACTCTTCAGTTTCAGAAGAAAGTATATTTTGGCATGGAAGTGAGGTTACTGTTAGAGAGAAATAAACACAATACCTTCTTGATTGCATCAGGTTGTGTTACTCTTTGAATTCTAGTATGCTTGCATATTTCAAATGATTCCCTCACTGTTCATTAAAATGTGAGAAAATGTTTGGAACACAAATCTCCAAAAGAAAAATTAAAGTCTCTTTGTTTGGGGCTTTTCTCTACTGAATATCAGCTTGGGAGTGCTCCTCGACCCGGAGCTTTCACTTGAAGCTCAGGTGACAACAGCGGCGAGGAGCGCTTTCCTCCAGCTTCGGCTGATTCATCAGCTGCGCCCCTACCTGGAGTACGACTGCCTTGCAACAGTGACTCATGCGCTGGTGACTTCCCGTCTTGACTTCTGTAACGCGCTCTACGTGGGGCTACCCTTGAAGACGGTCCGGATACTTCAATTGGTTCAGAATAGAGCTGCCAGGCTGCTGACGGGGACTGGACGTTATGTTCACATGACACCAGTTCTCCGTCAGCTTCACTGGCTCCCCATTGAAGTCCGGGCCCAATTCAAGGTGTTGGTAATGACCTATAAAGCCCTAAACGGCTTGGGTCCTGGTTACCTGAAGGAGCGCTTACATCCATATTTGCCCAGTCGCCCCCTGAGATCGGCGGGAGAGGCCCTTCTCCGGGAGCCCTCCGTGAGAGAAATTAGGAGGGTGGCTACTCGGAGAAGGGCTTTCTCAGCGGTGGCGCCTAAGTTATGGAATGCGCTCCCCAGAGAGGTCCGCCTGGCGCCGTCGTTATTTGTTTTTCGGCGCCAGGCTAAGACCTTTTTATTTAAGCAACATTTTAAATGCTAAATACAATTGAATTTTATCTGGCCAGGGCGGCTTATTTTATAATGTGAGTTTTAATTAAGATTATTTTATATGGATTTTAACTTGTTTTATCTATGTTGTAAGCCGCCCCGAGGCTTCGGCGAATGGGGCGGCATAAAAATGTTTTAATAAATAAATAAATAAATAAATAAATATCATACAAATAAGAAAGTAACTGCAATTTTCCAAGATTCTACATCCATTTACTTAGACCTGCATGTACAGACCTGCATGTACAGTACAGTACATGCATGTACAGTACAGAAGGGAATCATATTCAATCAAGAACATAAGCAGCATTTAAAATATTAAGGCATGGACTGGTGTCAGGTGTTAGCAAAAGCAAAAAAGTACGTTAAAAAGAAAATCTAGCTTACCAGGTACGGTCTGGGTGTGCTCCCATTTTGTAGGCAGCTTTTCCAATTTGTCTGATACAGACTTATATATCCATCTCCATCAACAATTCCAAACTGAACAAAATAAAGATATTACATTAAAATTAAAACCAGAAATATATATTGTTAATTTTAAATGGCTCCTTTCTATTTATGCTACAATTTGTTCCAAAGTTCTCCCCACACATTAAAATATGCTATATATATTAAGTAATTGAAATGGTAGCCAGAGTATTCCACAGACTCATGAAATATTAAATTAAATTTAATTTAAAAAGAACAGCGATAACTTCCTGATGGTGGTTGAACAAGAACTGAGGCCTCAGTGGAGCTCCTCCGAGAATGCTGGCATGCCTCGGGGCCAGGCTCCCGCCAAGTACTAATTAATCAGCTTTGGAAGCTTCCCAAATGAGCTCTACACATGTGTACAGAGCCCACATGGGATGCACAAGGAACGGCAAAGGAGAACAAGCATGTCCTTCCATTGTACAAGTGACGTGTCTCCAACATTATCCCCCAAAGTTAACGGATTGAGGTTAAGCTGGCAGTGAAAGCACATACATAGCTATTTGTCACTTCTTAAGGTTCAGAGCCAACCTGAGTTCTGTCACATGAGGCAGTCAGTAGTCTCTTCTTTTTATCTCATTTAATTTGAAGAAACCCCAGTGACATAGTACAACGGCTTCCCTCAGCTTTTCTATGTATGGTTTCAGTAACATTCTCTTTTGCAGAAGCTTCTGACAGATATATTGGTTGTAAGTTCAACTTATTGACTTTATAATGAAAGTCAAAAAACTTTGCTGGTATTTCCCAAGCTGTATGATTATGCCCAGTGATTGGCCACCCTGTAGGAGCTGCTGTCTAAACATCCTGTTATCCCTCTCAGAGTCATCACAGTAAGTTTGCATTTCAGACTGAAATTTGTCAGCCACTAGATCACAGAAGCCTCACTCTCCTTCTCTGCCATCCCCACTTCTGGCAGGCCTGGTACCCCAGTATAACAGTGATTCATGGCCTCCTGTACTTCTAGGCACAACTGCAACTCTTGCATTATTTAATCCAGAATATATGTTTTCAGCTTGTTTTTCAGAAAGAAGTTCATTGGTGGATTTGCCATTTTTCCTGCAGGTAATTGTTTTGGATGCTACATTTAATTTGCCTTCAGTGGAGAATGGGCCACTGCTAAGGCTGTTGTCTACCCTGCAGCTGGCTAAGCACAGCAATAGCAGTTTCACTGAACAGAGCAATCAGCATGTTCACAACTGTGCTGTCTTTGAGCTGCTTTTCACCATGACAGCCCTTTTCTCTTCACTCAAGCACTCTGAGTGTCTTGGGCAAAGAGTAGACGGATGCTCCCCCCCACCCCAATACACACACACAATGACAGTTTGCTCTCTGCTATATCTTCTCGTTGAATCAATTTTTGGGTGCAAGTTTTGGTACTATTATTATCCTAATATAAAAAAGCCTGATAGCTTGTGAAATTGTTGAGTTATGCCCCCATTGTGCCCTCCAACAGGTCTCACATCTCATGCATTTGAACTAGTGACATTTCATAGTCCTGCTTCTGTGCAATAGTAGGAAATTTCAACACTAGCTGATATCCAAGGTTTGTCTAATGTACTTGCATCTACAGACAGACTGGAGTCTAAACCCAGCACAGAGCTTTGTTCAAATTCATATGCTCATCTGCTGTGCTGATAGTTATATTAGAATGGAAATGGAACAATGTTTCTAAACTTATGTATTATTTCTACTTTATTTTCTGGGATCAAAGCAGCAAAAGGAAGGCTCATGCTACACAATTTTGCCATCCAAATACACAGGCTGTTTGCAGATTCTGAGCCAGCCTTCTCTGTAACTAATCCAATCAAAACAAGAAACAAAATTGACAGGCTTTTCCCACAAAACCACTACCTTATTGCCTTGATAATTGAATCTCATCCTTGTAATCCTGGAGTTGCCACCAGACCGAAAACATGCTATTTGCTGAGAATGTCCCCACTCAAACATTCTTACACTGCCATCCTGAGCACCTGTCAAGTCTGCAACAGAAACAAAAACAAGCAAGCAAGCAAACACATCAACGTTTTTTTCACCTGAAACTGCCTAGAGCAGGGCTGTGCCACCTTTCTCTCCTGTCAAGGGCTGTGCGCTGAACAAGGCACCTCCATGGCCCTATTCAGTCATTCACCTGCTTGAGTGTAAAGCTAAAGTGTGGGGAACATGCAAGCCCCATTACACCTATCTTTTGTTTAGACCCTTGCAAGTTGACTGAAAAGGTCTGAAGAGTGCTTGGTGAATTCAGCTGAATGGGCCAACACTGCTCTCTTCAGACCTTCACATTAAGTGTGTGAAGGCCAGCACTGAGAACTGAACCATCAGCGATGCTGGGGCAAAGTTTCTCTGCATGCCTATGTCTCCTCCCACACTTTAGCCCTACACATGAACAGAAGAATCCCTGAACAGGTTTTTTTCCTCTCTTCTGTTCTGCCCAGCAGACTGCTAATGGACAGAACAGATCCATTTTTCTAGAGGACTGAAATGACTGCATTCAGAGATCTTTTCAAATTGGGTAGATCACATGGCTCACCCTGATCTAGAAGTATACTGCTCTATAGATTTCTAGGATAAACATGAGATATGGAGTAAGAGAATGATACACTCTTGTATGATTGCTTCACTGAAGAAGAAGAAAGGGCAATAGCTGGTTGTTTATAATGTGATGTATTTCTTGCATTAAACCAAGTTGGGCAAAACATATTGCAACTCTGCAAGTAAATTATAACACCCTACAGAGCTTGGGACCACAATAGCTGACGGAATGCCTCTGCCAACTGGAATCTACCTAGACAACATGATTAAGGTCTGAGGCTTACCTTCGGTTGTCACTTCCAAGGAAGGCTCAGTTGGTGGCAAAAAGGAAAAGGGTCTTTTCTGATGGCTTGTAGGCTATAGAACAAGCTGCATAACTTACGTACAAGGCCCACTTGGCACAGTCAACATATTTTTGGTGCCAGCTGTTCTACCACAGTGCATTGTATTCATTTACTGTCAGACTGGGTCTTAGGTTAGCCGTGTAAGCTGATCTTAAGATTTAATTTGTTTAAGCTGTTGTAGGTTTTTTTCACATTTGTTTTAAGTTTGGTTTTTAAATTCTATATGGTAACTTTTATGATGTTTTTACTGTTGTGTGTACTTTATATCGTATTCTCTGTGTTATACACTGTCCAGAGAGTTTCAGTTACTGGATGATATAGAAATACAATTGAAGGTGAAAATGATACAGCCCCCACTCTATTAGCTAGCAGATGATAGTGAGGTATAATAGAAGTTGTATATCAAAACATCTGGAGGGTCACATGTTACCTATCCTTGCCTTAAAAGCTTTAGTACAATACTAAACTTAATACATCTTTGTAAAATCAAACCATATTGCATCAAAGACCGTCTGCAGTAATCCGTACCATTCAAAGCACAGCATTTTACGAAAGGTAAGTTTGAACTGTGAACTGCTGAAGTCTGTGGCCTTTCAGTGTTCAGCTAAGTGCTTCAGCTTCACAGATTTCACTGAGATTCAGGGCTGATTAATTAAATCTACAATATGGTTCGTATGACATGCCAGGTTCACTGTGTTTACGTGAGCTGCACTGCATGGCACGTTCCAGTTTGAATATGCAACCCCAAATGGCATTTGCTGGATGTCATCTGAACCTAGCCATCAGAGGCTCTGAAAGGGCTAACAGTCCTTGCATAACCCTACAACAACCTGAGAGTTCTAGGAGCCACTTCACTGCAACAGTTAACTCTAAGCAATATTCAACTTTTCACCTTCATCTTAATCTGTTTTTAAAGGGCTGGTTCTCTTTGCCATGATTCTTTCAAACATTTCTTACATAATAAAAGTAAAGTACTGAAAATATTAACATGGTCTTACAATAAGGTAATGTTGGGTGGGAAGCCATTCTGCGGACATTATTGATAGTCTTCTTGATCATCTGTTGGATGTACAAAATTAAACAGGTAAGTTTGATGCAAATAATCAAAAGCCTATTGAAGGAAAGTAATTATTGATGCAAAGTGCAGACACTATCATGTTTGCTTTCCTTTGTGAATTTGGGATTGAAATATGGATGGTGGTCAATGAAAGCTAAATCCTTCCCTCAGCATTAGCTCACATTTAATGTCAATTGAACTTAACCCAGGTGTGTGAAAGTTTTTGCTCCACAGGTCTAAGGTTCCCAACAGAGACACTCTAAACTGCAATCTTACCTCTTTTCTTGTCAATTCCTTTCTGATTCCATTAAATTTATTGGAATATTCCTGTATATTGTAAAGTAAGTAAGACAGAGGCAGAAGCAGAAGCATGTAAGAGAGAGGTAAACAAACTTTTACAAAAATTAAGTAGGAATGAAGAAGTTAGGTTTTGCATTTAATTAAGCACAGATTTAGATGTGCATTATTAACATTAATTGGAAAATAATTTAATTATCTAGCCCTTGGATAAAGAGCACATATTTCAGTAGACATGAAGCTAAGAACATAGGTATGAGTTCTGTTAATAAAACATGTATTTTTTAAAAAGTTTCCTAAATGAAATAGTCCATGGTATTTTTAATTACAAATAACAATACAGGTATTTGTAATATTTGTAAGAATATTTTAATATTCTTAGACTCACCAATACAGAAGATCTAAAACAATGTGTGAACAAAATGCTGACAAATTTCTTAGAAAGCAGTTCAACCCTTAGCTTTAAAAGGATGCCAATTCTGTGGCTACTATTCAACTGCTTGGACAATTTAATTACAGCTTTCAGGCTCTGTTATCAGAGACACATTAATTTTAAAAATGAGAAAAAAGACACCTGTGTATGACTGAAATTCTAAAATTGTATGTGTAGGCTGAAGAATACAGTGCAAGAAAAAAAAACAGTTACAGCTATGTAGAAAAATATGGGCAATTATATTTGCAAAACAACAACACTCCCCTCCCAAATTATAAGTTTTGTAGCACCTTAAAGACTAACAAATATATTCAGGCACAAACATTCATGGACACTGTCCACTTTATCAGATTCATTTAGTGTTAATCTCAAAATGGCACACTTATACTGTATATAAAACACATGCTAGGGGCAGGATGTGGGGGGATGTAAGGGAGAATTTAAATATAAAAACTACTGATAGTGGTAATTATCCTAATAGCTGCCACTCACAAAATGCCTGATAATGAAGCGTATATCATTACAATAGTAAGCTGATTAAAACACATAATATGAGGAAAATGCCACCACTTTTGCCAGAGTTGATCTATCTATTTACCTATCTATCACACTTATATCATGCCCCATAGACCATTAAGCTCTCTGGGCAGTTTACAAAATTTCAGAGTTGAATAATTGTACTTGAGCAATTTCAAGTTAATATCTGCCTTTGTAATTTTTTTCTTCGAGAATAGCTTTCTTCACATCATTGACAGAGTCCTTGGAGGTTGAAATACTCTCTCACTGGTTGTTAAATGATGCTGCTCCATATGTCAGGTCTGTATCCATTTATTTTGAGTACACAGACTGGTTTGTCCTATGAATAAGGTAGTAGGACATTACTTGTGAATGATGGCATGTATCATATTAGAAGATGAGTAGGTAGATGAACCATTGATACTATGAACAGCAATACTAGGAACTTTAATAGTTAGATTTTAAAGTAGGTATGCCAGAGTAGATATGGGGACAAAGTTGGTATCTGTGTCTGCCACAGGGTCAGGTTCATGCACAGTTCTCTTGGCTGCAATGTCTGTTGTTCCTCACGAGTAACCTTTGTAGGTTTCTGGTAGCCTACCTAAGCTTGTATCAGAATCATTTTGTTAGTCTATAAGGTGTCACAATACTTTGTTTTAGCTGCCACAGGTTAATACAGCTAACCATCTGGAGTACCTTCATCAAAGTGCCTCAACTATTATTGGCGGCTCAACAGAGAGTATTTTCCATAACCAGTGTTTATCTCTATCAATGTTTAGTGATGAAGAATTCAACTTTGTTCAACATTGTGCATCTGCTTTTGCCCTTCTTGAGTAAAATCTGAAGTGAGAATTCAAAATTTATCCAGTACACATTGCGCAATTTGCCTCCAAGCTCAACATAAGAAAAATGGCATAATTCCCCTCCTTCTGATATTACTAATGATTTATCTGTTTTGATCAAGAATTCATGTGCACATTTTTTTATTTTTTGCAAGTTATAGCTATTTTTTGCAAGTTAAGTCAATGCACCCTTAGTTGATTTACAGCATGCTCAAATAACTGCTATAATGTTAACTGTGCTTACATAGGCATTTTTAAAATATGCATGAATTTAATCCTCTCACAAAAGGTGTACTTGCTACTGTGAACAGAGGAAGTGAAGAAGGTGACTTTCAAAACCCCCCTTTTCCTGCAGCCTGTTGTGCCATCTGTCATACTGTCTAGGTTTGCACAATAAATTAGGCCATGGTGTTTATAAACCACATTGGTTTAAGCATTTTCCCATGCGGTAGTTTATAATCCATTCCAACTAGGTATAGCTAGTTGTAGGTTTGATACACCTACTATGGCTTTTTGTTTTATTTGAACCCAAATTGATTGTAGCAGACAACTCAAGTGACAGTTGAAGGTTCTGGCTCTCAGTTGATGTTACACTTAAGCATTGGAAAATTTTGCTTGGGTTTGAGCAGCACACTAAATCACTGGCAGGGGTGGCTCAGCATATCCTGTATACCTTACCTTGGAGTACCTTAGGACATAGCCTTGGCTTGTTTTAGGTTTTAGAAAACCCTCTGTGTCTTAACTGGTCATCCAAACTGGAGGTCATGCTAGGCGATGATATTGCCAATCAAACAAGGGTCCCTTGGCACAAATGCCTAAGAAGGGTTGTTGCTCTGGCCCAAGAACTCTGGCTACCCTGTGCTGCCTTCCTGCTTAAGCCCTGCTTGGGACTTGAGACTGAGGAGGTATGTGGCAGGGAAAGGGCCTACTGAACTTGGCTTCTTTGAGAGAAAGCAGCTGAACAGGCCTTTCCTGCCATCTCCTGCAACCCCACTTGCAAAGTCCTCACTAACTGGGTGGGAGGGGGTGATTTTGCCTGTCAGTACCCCATGCACACATGGCACTGACAGAGAATTGCCCCACTCTCAACTCCACTGGGAAGCTTGGGGGGATCCTGCCTGTCAGTGCCCACGCCCCCTCTCCTGCTGCAGCCTGCCACAACTGAGCAAGGGAGAAGGGAAGGCAGCAGTGAAGAAAGTGGGGTGTCAGTCTATGTCCCTTGGTGCTGCAGCCCAGCATTTCCTGAGAGAGCAGCTGCAGGGAGTGACAGGAAGAAGGGGAGGTGATACTTGTGGACCTCTGTTGTGCCTGATCATTTGCTGGCACAGGTGTCCCCCTGCCCCACCAACTTTAAGGCACAAGTGGCTGGACAGGTACCTTGGGCTTACAAGTATCATGCAGACCTAGCTGGAGAATGAAGGCAAGCACTGACTAGCTTCACAAAACATTATGACCTTGGTGACTTATAAGCTGGGGGTAGCTTGGCATGTTGTCTGAACCCAGCCGGAGTGGTTAACAAACCATGTTGTTTCAGACAACAGCATGCCATTCCTGACTTAGAAGCTACCACAGCTCCTCCTCCCTCCTCTTCCCCTTCTCAGTCCTCCTGCAGCATCTCAGCGGACACTACCAGAGAACTGAGAGTCTCACTTGAGCTGCAATGAGCCAATTATCCCTGGCTAAATAAAAAGTGGCCTCAACCAAGAGATGGGGAAGCCAGTATGCTGTTGGCCAAGTCAGAGTGGACTGAGACACAGGAATCCAAATGAAAAACAGAGAAAGAAGGCAAAAGGAAAAAGCAAGCAGAGAACAAAGAACAGAGGATAAGATTCTATCAGTTCTAATCCATCTGTACCAGGAATGCACTAGATGGTCATAGGTAAGCTGCTCTCTTCAGCCCCACCTCAATTTGCAGCAATGACATCTATGTGTAGAATAGTGAGGTACTGTACAGATTTACTGTAATGATTACATTAAGGTAATGTTTTGTGAAGCATTCTGAACATTCTATATAACACTACAGATGATGGGAAAAGAATATCCTTCACAAGGTTGGCTTGGAAAGCATTAAATGTTGAATAAGGAAAAGAATCCACTGTAAAATTAGAAATAAATGGCCAGATCTGCCATGAAGAAAGCAAGGAAAGCAAAACTCTAGGCTCATCTGGGATCTGTCCGGCCATTTCCGTCTGTCCAACATGAAGAATCCTTTGCAAAATAGCCACAGCATGTGGATTTTCACGGAGCCTCCCTTCTGCACTAGTGGCAACATCTCTGCTTTCTGAGAGGAAGAGGTTGTGAAGCAAGCATGAGTGGGAGCAAGCTTCATTTGTCTCTTACCTCACTTTCTTGTCTCACAGTTGCAGCCATGAAATCTCTGTATTGCTAGTGGTCATTCTGAGAGAAAGGAATTCTGATCCTATATACCCAGGTCCCAAATCGCAAATGCACTACTTAAAGTTGTGTTTCCGGGTTTTAATTGTAATTGTTATTTGTTTTGTATTTATTTATTTCTGTGAGCTGTCCTGAGGCTATATAGCAAGGGGACGGCATATAAAAACTTCAAATAAATAAATAAATAAATAAATAAATACAATTGATCTAACTACTTTAAAGTAACTACTTGCATGGTCAAGCCTCTCCAATATTGTTTGTTATACTAAATCTAATAATATCTACCTGCTGTCTTTTGGCATGTTCAAAGTGCTTCCTATACATTTTTATATATTCCAACGCCATGTATGGATTGGCTATCCTTATGAATTCTGAACTAGGAATGACTTGACCATCATGTTCTGTATTACTGCAGCATACTAGTTTCTTTCCTATCCAATGGAGCAGGTTCTCTTCCTTGAAAATAACTGTTAAGGATGTGGAATCACACATATACAGGAGGACTGAGAGTTGGTTAAAGTTTCTGAACTTAATACATTGTCAAATGCATTTTTAATAGGATGATTCAGAACTGCATATATTTATGAACAAGTTATTAACAATACAAGCATAAAATGTTGCTATTAAGAATATAATTAAAGGATTTGTCTATAATGAATTACTCACCACAGCGGCACCTCTGCCAGTCTGTGTACCACCAAGCCAGGGCACGTTGATTGGTGTACCAGGATTGCTGTGAGTATAGGGCGTAGTTCCCTGCATATTTCCCAAGTCATCATGAGCATGTATAACTAAGAAGTCATCAGCTCTGTAAAGGAAAGTAGTATAACCAGGATTGACTGCATGCTCATGACATATTCATATTTGATAGCTCATGAAGTATTGCCAAAGATTTAGACTCAGGCAGGATGTTCCTGACCCTCAGAATCCAGAATCCACTCAGTGGCTGAGTTCAGGCAGACCAGTCTTTTGGGACAGCAAGTTCCAACATTAGTCCTTGTATCAATGCAGGTGCACTGCAGTAGTGCAAGCAATGAGGAAATAATTGTCCAGGCCTTAATGTGAACAGAGTTGAAAGGAGATAGTTGCAAGACTGATTATCAGTGAAAATCAGGACTGATCTAATGACACTCACAAGCTCAATATTTTAACAGGCTTTTAAAAATTGGCTCTGTTCAGAAAATTATAGGATATAATATGCAAGTCAAGAGATGTAGTCAAAGGAGAAAGGTAAAAGGAAGAAATACCCTTTAGCTTCCACTTCTAAATCTTCATCAACCCAAGTGTAGATTTGTGTAGCTAGAATCCCAGAAACATCTAGTTCTTGAATGTCATGACTTGAAGCTATTGCAATGCAATTCCTGTTGGCCTAAAGGACACAATAGCAAACGGAAAAATGGTGAATGGATTTAAATACTTCTATTTAAATCTATTTGCATTTCACTATTCTTTCTTCACTGGTAAGATGAAAGGTCCATCTTAGTACAGCACCATAAGTGTGACAAAACATTACAAGCTGACAGGATGAATGGTTTAGGTTATTTGAACCCATCCAATAAGGCTCCTCTTCTTTCCCTTGGGACTACAGCGGCTTAAAAATATAGTACCATCACTGGAGAATATCCATCCAGTTCAGCACCTGGTTCCATAAGTGGTCCACTAGTTGCTTCAGGAAAACCACAAGCATGGTTGAAGTAGCCATATCATATCTAACAGCAACATTTGGGTTAACATTGGTTTTCAAGTGGCCCATCTGCAAGGGAAGCTGTTCACTTAAAGACTTCTCACTTAGTGCTGAAACCTCACTGTTCCACTGCAATTATCTATTTATGCTTTTGGCCATTTTAAGAACATGGGGTTTATAGCAAGGAACATAACCATTAATGCTGAAGGAAAAATGGTCTATTTCCAGATGGTAGAACTTGACAATTTATAAGAATATCTATGTCACTCTGGTAAAATTACAGTAATTCTTGCTTTTTAAGGGAAACTATGACATTTCATAATAGTTAGAGAAGTTTCTCTTCTGATTGTTTGCATACCTTGTTAACAGCAAATGCAGTAATAATGTCAGACTCTTTATGGATAATCCTTGCTTTATTTCCAGGGTATCCCATGTCAGTCTCTATCTATAGTAAAAACAGGGAAAATACAGAAATCCCTATTAAAAGAGTAAGGTATTTATCTTTTTAGGCCACATTAAAAAAATTAAGGATAAACATTAGGTAAGAATAAGATCAGCACTATATATAAAAAGTTACTTCTATTAGTTCAAGGTAGTCCAGTAAAAAGTATGATAATGGTTCTGGAATCTATCTATTTTAACCACTAATTTGCATTGAGTTAAACTCCTAATGAAACTAAAAATAAAAGATAGTAGGGAAGTTTCACAGAAATACAAACCATGTGTACCTACATAATATTTTAAAAGAACTATCAATTATTTAATTGCTCAGAAGCATGTTACTAATACTGTGCAATTTTTAGTGTTGTTAATACCCATATAAACAGCAACAACATAACGGAAAGATTTCAGTTTTCCAGTATTCATATATAATTGTGTAGGCCCTCTTAACAAACGCAAGCACCTGCATACATATGTATGAGCCTGGCATATTAGTCAACCTGAGGGTTCATACACAGCTCATTTGACCTCTAAAAGACACATACTTTGTTTTAAAAAGGACTCCATAATGAGTTGGATCCCAATATCCACCTGTGGAAGCAGGTGGGGAGTAGCTGACTTACCAACCCCCTCCTTTCCCCATCAGCTGCCAGATGCCAAGCATGCTCTCTCTTGAGTAGGTGGACCCTACTGAGCAGGGAGGGCAAAAGAGAGGAAGAACAGACAATGGCACATTTTGTGAATGGAGCCACAGCTGTCTCTGCTTAATACCTCATGACCTCCACTTTCTCCCTCAGTTTCTTGTACCACTGTACTCACCCAAGTCCTGAGGGAACATATTCAGGAGCTGGCAGGGAGAAGGGGGTGGAAAGTTCAGCTTCTGGGCACAAATCTGGATCCAGCCCAATATAATGAACTTAATCAATCCTATCCATAAATGCACAAGACAGCTGACATTGGAAAAATCTAAATGTTTCTCAGCATCCTTTCCATTTTATTCAAAAGACCAGAACTAAGTAGACATGATACTTGAATTGAGAGTCTTGAAGATAGTACACTTTAGTTCAGTCAGCATCTTATCACCTTTTCTTAAAAGAATTAACTGGTTTTGATTGTACAAAATATTTTTCCTATATCACTGTTCTCACTGTATATATACCTTATTGGTTCCAGATTCTTCCACTGAAGTACTTTTGATATTTTCATTTTGGTCTTCTAATGACTACACCAGAAAGAATAAATCACATGACAGAAAACAAGATGAACTAACATGCAATTCTAGGTGGCAATGTAAACAGTTATGACATTATGAATATGCAACTTTTAGTGAAACATGTTCCTGTAGTGCTGTAGTCAATTCTTTCAAGCATGTGCTCAGAAGCACATTTCTATAAGTAAAGTCTTTCAGTGATATATTCTGCTTTCCCACTTTCATTAATGCACTAGTGGAACTATTTCATACTTATATGAAGTTCTTTTAATATGAATAGCAAGAGTAGTTTTTTAGAAGGGATAAGAAACTAAGACAACCTATACTATATCCCAGTTGTTCTATTTCTGATTGTTTCAAAGGAAACTATGAAAACAGGGAGACACAAAAGAAAAATGGAAAAAGACAAACTATATGAATTGTGCTATTCCAAATTATTTACAAATGGATGTTAACTTGACAAAATGCTGAGTAGTAAACCAGCTTGGAAAAATTCACAATATCACTATTAAAGAGCCTAAAAGGTCAGAATGGATACTTGAAAAGCTTGGAATCAATAGCCACAACCAAAGTCATATAGTTGGAATTATGAAACAGGCATGGCAAGGGGTATAGCAGACTTTCAATATTAGTGACACTTTCTGGCTAGGTGACAAATAAATAGCAGACAAATAAATTTACATAATCATCAAATACTGCATTATGAAGGCAAATGGGTGGATATGCTACATTATCTTAATACCCACCAGCCCAGCCTTGTTTCGTTTAGATGTTTTAGATTACAGTTCATCATCATGCTCGATCATTGGCCATGCTGGCAGAGAGTGACAGAAGTTGAAGACCAAAGATCTAGAGGGTATCTGGCATTAGTCCAATTCATTGTTGCAATGTGCAGCAAGATGCATGTAGCATATAAAATTGTATCTGCACATAAATTTATGCTTTACGTTTCAGGCTTGAGATATCCTGGAAGGTAGGTTAAGTAGACTTGGCAAGGAAAAGGCAGAAAACTTCAAGTTCAAAACCTCTGAGGAACACGTGCTTAAGGAATAGTCAACAGTATTTAATTTCTATATAAGCCTACAATACAGACCTCATTAAAGCATCTCTTCTTTGTAAATATGTTTCTGATGAAGGTTTCTTGGACCATTTCTTGTTTTATGAGATACTGCCAAAGTCTCTTCACAGACAATGCATTATTACTTTTAGAACTAAAATGAAAACAAGAATTATATATAGAAGTTAATATATGTACGAGTCTATGAAAACAGAAACTACAGCAAATCTTGAAATCTGAACAAGGAGCAGCTGCTGCAGTTGCATAAGCAGCACACCTGCTCCTAGTGCATGTCTTGAGCAGATTCGCAGCTACTGATAGTAATGAACATGAAGCAGCATGAGCCTGTAACAGATATGCTTTAAAGCATCTCTGCAGTTACACTGTGAGAGCTATGCATACACAGGTAAAGTACATCTTTTAAATTCCTCCCAAACAGAAGGCATGCTCTTCTCTTTCAGCTAACTGTTCTACTTGCCTTTTGTCCAGTTGCATGGGAAAAGAGAATGCCTTCCCAGAGGTCATTTGCTGAATGAACCAATGCAAAATCACTGCATATAATCTCAATGTCTACTGTGGGATTGTTGTGCATCTGCAAGAAGCCACATAGGGCTTCTTTGCACAAGGGTTTTACATTAGTGCTGTCTCACTATGTTGTAAAAGAGGCTCTCACTACATACTTTCCTACATGATGCCATGTAGTGGTTTAAATCATTTCATGGAACTGCCCAAGGAGAGTGCCATGGAAACACAGCATAATTTTGGTTGTGATTCCTTGCCCGCTTGCTCCCCTTCCCCTTGAAGAACTCAGTAGCCATGGCTGAGCTGAGGAAGGCTGTAGCTGCACTGCAACACACATTCAGAAACACAGCCAAGCATTCTTCTATTCCACAACACATGCACATTGTACAATGTGTCCTGTGCAGGTTCTTCTTGTTCCCTCATGGAAGGAAGCCACTCACCAGATAGTCTGAGAAAGCTTAACAGTTTGCCTCACTCGTTTCTCTCTTCTTTTGTCTGTGTGCATGTTGCAGAGGGGTGTTACATAAGATCACTATGGTGTTATTTCAGTTCTGTGCCACTTCTCAGGTACAGGTTCCTATCTAGGTGCACTTTCATGGTGGGTGGGTGGTGGGGGAGGGTTACTGTGATTGTGTAATTTGTTACAGCTTACAGTCCCTCCACCCAAAAGGAAGTCAGTACAGTCATCTCCCCTGCAGGCTTCCCCTGCCAACAGATAACTCCATTTGATGAATGTGATTCATTTGTGAGTAAGGCCACTGATAATCAGATTTACTTCTGACTAGCCATGTGCTTCAACTGGTTGTTTGTTGAGCAGGCGGACAAAGCAGGCAAAAAGGAAGGCCTGAAGAAATAGCACCAATATTATTTCTACAGGAGGCAAGGCATTTACAAGTCAGAAAGAGAGGGAGAAAAAAGATATGAGAGTGGCACGGGGACAGGAAAGCAATGGAAGGCTCTTTGAGTGGCTGGAGCCCCTTAAATGTCCTTACATCACTCCTTCCCATACACCTCCTTGCCTACGCCTTTGCCCCAAATGTCCAACAGACTGAGAATGTCCCGTTTCCACCAAGACCTCTGCCTGCCCCTTTGTATTGCAATGAAACCAGCCATGCAGAAAGAAACAAGGAGGAAGGCGCCATCGGTCTGCTGCAAACACACACAACAGCACTGGCAGAATGGGACAGAGCTGGAAGTGCAAACTAAGGTGATGCCATGCATAGCTCCCACTCTCTCTCTCTCTGTCGACATCACAACAACACTCCCCAAGAATAACAGTACAAAAGTAAACTGGCCTTTGGTGGAGAGTTCAAAGTGATACTAAAAATAATGTTCCATTTTCTCCATTTAGGAGAAAAAATGCTAACAGCAGTTAAAACTGTCGGGCCATCATTGGATGACAACAATTTCATATAGAGGCCCCAGAAATTTCTGTGAGTGAAGGATCATAAGCACACAGCAAATGCCTTGTATAAAGAAGCCCTTAAAGAATATTTGTTACTGGCAAGCCTTATGTCACCTTTTTCCTACTACAATGAGAAATTATTGAGCTGATTTTCTAGGAGCTGGGAACAGAAGTCTTATGAAAAGACTGAAGCCATGCTGTTGCAACAAGTGTCTCTTTCCTGACATCTGTGACTCATTCTTCACAAAAGTTCAAAGTATGCCTCACGGTGGAGACTTGCACGTAATATTTCATGCTCCAAAATCCTAATTGACTTGGAGTGTTGCTGCAGCTCTTTCCTAATATAATACACTACACCTGACACCCTTCTGTAACACCACAGGTTATATGGTTCTGCACATATAAGTACAGACCTAGTTCCATCTCACTGGTATTACGGTCAGTGTTAACTTTAATTTTCCCTGCATAATACATATCGATGAAGGTAAAGCTTTTCTGACTGATTGCAATTCCAGTAAATTAATATGGACATTCAACTGCTGAACCAAACACTTTGCCACTGACTGAAAGATCTTTTAAACTGCAACACGCAATACAGAAAGCACTCTGTGTATTAAGACCCAACTGACGGCGCAGTATTACCAAGAATCTCAGTCACTACTGAAAGGCAATTCTGGACTTCTATTGTGATCTCTGCTACAGCTATGGAAAGAGACTATCAATCTATTATTAAGAGATGTAGGTGTATGAAGGTAGACAACAAGTCACAAAACCACATGTACCCAAGTTGCAACATCAGTAAATCACCAGAAGTTCTGTGAAGAAGCCATTGGCACCTCAAGATGAACAAGACTTTTTCTTGACTTTTGCATATTGACAATGGTTCTGTGACTGAGTAAGCTGCTGCAGATACTATTTACTTAATTTATATTCTGCTTTTCTTTCTTCCAAGTGACTCAAGATGGTTAATATAATTCTGCTTCTCATAATCTGATCATCCCAACAACAGCCTTAAAAGATAGGTTGGGCTGAGGATTTGTGACTGGCCCAAAGTCACCCAATGAGCTGCATGGCTAATAGAGCCCAGATTGCCTGAGTCCCAGGCCCACACTACACTACACTGGCTCTACACCATACTATGAAGATAGAACCTGCATAGTTGAAAACACAGTCTTTCCCAACCTGGAAACCCCAGCCAGCATGATGATCATGCATGATGAAAGCTGTAGTCCAGAATATCTGGAGGCTGTCAGGTTGGGGAAGGCAAGATTAGCATAATGTTCTGAAAACCTGCTGAACTCTGAAACAATCATGAAAGGACTTCAAGGAATGTACCATGAATTTGGTGTTCCCCAACTTCTCAGAAAATGATCAGTTTGAGAACCACATTATTTATTTAGAAGTTAGCAGGTCTGAATTAAGCATCACTTTCAAATCCTAAGTGATTCATCCCTCACATAGTTATGGATACATACAGAACTGTAAACATCTAAAAAAAATGTAGTGTGTGAAGTGTTATCCTTTATCTTAGTGCTTACATGCTCTGAGGTAAATAACCATCTTATACTACAAATCTGATTTAAGACTGTCATTGTGCCTGAGCATTTCAAAGAGTCACACAAGCCTCTGTTCCACATACACTTCTAATAAGAATTCATCCTGCTAGTTATAGTGTAAGATTAAACGTGATGCAGATGGCAGAGTGTGATTATGAAAATGGCAGTGAAAATATGCATTTTGAGAAATTTAACAGACATTACTGAAGAATAAATTTTAATACTGTTCATTCACTGTACACACTTACCTGAAAGGGGTATTTGTTGGTTCTAAGAGGGCTTTGTGACGAAGTAGTGCAGGACCTGAAGAAGATACATCTTGTGAAGTATGAATAGAAATGAAATTGTCTGGTGGGCCACCATGCATTTCAAGTCGTCTAAGAAGAACTTGTTCCCAGCGCTGAAGCAGCTTCAGAACTGCATGACACAGTGGAGAGCTAACTGGAAGCTCTGCAAGCAAAGTAAGATTTTTCTTATTTCCAAGCTTTTCTATGAAGATTACATCCCTAGTATGCTTTATACCACAGTCATCCCCAAGATACGTAATTTACTCTCTTAAAGGAACATAGATTTTTCCCATCAAGATTGATTTGAACTTCAGAGTTAACTATTCCTGTAGAAAGTCAACTGCATGCAAATTAGCAAGTGTTAATGATAATGGACTGCAGAGGCAGTTATTACAGCAAAGATGAAGGAGGCCAAAGTTCTTCAGTCCAATTCTAAAAACCTTAGTGAGTTAAAATGGTGCTTCGTTTGCTTAAGATTAGTGCATTTGTCAAGTACTTTCTATGGTTCAACAAAAGACAGGCAGTTCTCACAGGCACATGGATCCTGCACATTGGCAGAGAAAGAACAGTAAGTCTTTTAAGGGAAAGTTAAAGCACACTGACTTGATATAAAGATCTACTTGATCTTGAGATACACTTGTATACACTCAAGTCCTACTTAAAGACTTCTCACAGGCCTCCAACTGGCCACTGTGTGACCAGAATACTGAACTAGCCAGCACTGATGCTGGTTTGATGCAGCATAGCTGCTCTTGTGCTCTCACCACAACTCTTGTCATACTCAGCCAATGTGGCCAATGGCCATGTAGGCTGAGGTTGTTGGGAGTTTAATCCAGCACATCTGGAAGGCTCTACACTGGGGAAGACTATTCTAAAAGAGCGCATCTTTTCTGGCATGAAATGTTTGCTGTTTCTATGTCTAACACGCAAAACTATTACATTTAAAAACTGCACACCCCATTCACTTTGAAGGTTCAATCACAATGAGTTCAAGGGAAGTCAGTTCATCATTAGTGATATAGTTTTCCATCTACAGATTTCAAGAAGCAAATGATTAGGACAACTGATTCTCTCACTTCTTCCTTTACCTGAGGTTATGTTTTCCTCCCAACCCCACCTCATGTTTTTCAGAAAAGCAACATTGTATTTTACACTAGTGAAAAAAAAGTCAATGTGTTAATGATGTCTTGCCAGCTAACTCCCTACGTAGCCTATCTACTTATGTTGGCATCCGCTGAATGATCTGTTTCCTTTACTTCTGTTAAAAATAGTGAGGTAAATATTGGTCAGTGGTCAATACTGATCTCCAAGGACAGTTACCTTATTAAATTCTCCAATTGCAGCAAACGGTGACCTCCCTCTAAGAAAGCAAATTCCTCTCTTTCTTACCCCTCCATCAACCCAGTCATAGGCTAGGAGATGCTACTGACTGCTGGCAAAGCAGATGTTGCACTTCCTTTTCTAACATTTGTAATTCATGCTTTTCTTGGAAGCACCCTGGGGCCTGGACTGGGGAAAGTAGGTACTGCGGATACTTAAGAGCTAAAGTCTTGTTATATATGAGCTGGGAAATGCCAGGTAAGCACAGGCCCAGAGGTATCTACTCAGAGCTCGGCTCCTCTCAGGAAGCTCTCCCTCTTTGTCTGTTTAGTTCTTCATGCTGCCAGTTTCTATCCACTTGACTCTCTGGATGCTTTTTTCCCTTTTTGTTTCCTTTTGTCTGCCCTTTCATTCTGCTCACTGCTTTTCAGCAACTCCAACCTGTCTTCCTTCCCTGCCTGACTTTTTATTTTCCCTCTGATCCCCACACTGACTCATTTCTCCCAGTGGTGGCTTCTCAGCTGGACTGGCAATCAAGGGAGCTGTCATTACCCAGCAATTCAGAAGGCACCAAGCCCAGCCAGAGTCCTTCCACTGATGCTTGGAGGCAGGCTATTACCTGAGAGATCATGCCCAGCCAAAGGGTAGAATGTCTTCAAGTTACGAAGAACCAGTTGAACCATAGCCAGCCGCATCAGCAACCAACTAAACCAAACACAAAAAAATTTATTGGCCTTTTTAGCAATACTCAGAAAGCAATTCCAAACATAAGTGCATATTATTATAACATGTTTACAAATTTCCAAACATGCATTTGTAAATTGTGCACTTAAAAAATGTACACATTAAGAAATGCAGTATGAAGTTCATTCTTAATATCTTTAAAAATGCAGACATTTGGAAATTCACACTTTTTAAAATGTGCACTTTTACAAAGGAACACTTAAAGTGCATGATTTAAAGTGTATTCTTTAGAAATTAGCATTTTCATGCTTTTGCCAGTGGGGGAAAATACACATTTTTAAAGAATTTGCACTTTTCCCTATCAAACAAGTTTTAAAAAAATCACATCACAAATGAGAATGGGAGCACGTTGAAGTGAAGTGAAATGTGGGAATGTACTTGCGCCCAGAAGCATCTCTGTGTTGGGAAGGGTTTGCCTCTTTCATTCATTTTTCCCATTTCACAGACAAAAATATATAATCAAGTAAAGTAATGCATCAAATTTTATACCTATATGAATTTGAATTTGAATGCTCCTGCAGCTTCAGGTCTGATGAGAAAGCTCCATCGTCTTCTTCATCACTGCTTTCCTGACTTTCTTCTGAATCATATTCAAATCTAGTTTGTGATGATGGAAGAAATGGCTGAAAGAACAAAGATTAAGAACTGTATAATTTCAATCCAAACCAAAACGCCCCAAAATCCCACACATGCCAGAATATACTTGTTTTAAATACTTTATTTTTAAAATAATACTTTAAAAAGGTGTTTAAAATAAATACTTACAAAAATTTACATGTATTTGAATTTCAGAACAGTTATGATGAAGGGTAAAAACAACAAACAAAACCTACTTTTATGTCTCCCAGTCTTATTAATGCAACCAGGAAAAATGTCAGGACTCCTTTCTATCAAATGCACCTACTTTTTTAAAAGGCTAAACTTTTTGTCTTACATTTTCTTCCCATGTTATGTGAATCAGCTAGTATAAGACTCTTCTTCCTAGCTGGCTTTTACAAATTAGACTGGCTTATAGATCTTCTCATGTAGTAGATTTTCACTTGCATAACAATATTATTGGTCTTACTTGATTGCATTTATATCCCACCTGTTTTCCTTTTGTGAGGAACCCTGTGAGGTAGGATAGACTGAGAGTGAGTGACTGTCCCAAAGTCACTCAGAGAGTTTCAGTAGTTGAATGGAGACTAGAACCCAGATCTCCCAGGCCCCCAGTATGACACTGTAATCACCATACCACACTGATTTTAGATATAATGGGCTGACATTCAAACAGGACTATTTCAGTGATTTAGGTGCTGCCATGATATAAAGTTATCTCATCAAAAGGTAGTTGCATGAAAAGAAACTGAGCATCTGAAGACAAAAATCCCGCTGTCACTCTAGCCATCACATAAAAATGGTTAGGTAGTAATGGTGTGAACACTGCTTTGTAATTAGTTTTGTATTAGTGACAGCAGGAAGCAGCAAATATAGAATGTAGCTGATTCTGCTTCCTTTCAAGAAATATAGTAGGGCATATCAACAAGATGAAGTTGGCTTGATAGACCCTGGTTATCCCAACTAACTGCAGAAGGAATTGCTGCCATAGTTCTGTTAAAACACACACTCTGCATATTTCTCACTTAGATGAAATTGATGATTTTATTTGAAAAATTTAAGCCATTTATGAGAACACTAGTTAGAAGCAGGAGTTGACAGTCCTTTCCCTTGAGATTCAAGTCTACAAAGTTCACTTGTCATTTCTTCCACTTGTTAAAATGAGCCCTCCCCTGCTAATACCTTTGCTATGAAGTAGTCCCAGATACTAAGTTCAGGAGGAATAAATTTCTCCTTGTAATTTGAAGAGTCTTGCTCTATTGAGGGTGAAGTAGTCTGCAAATTCTCTTTTGGAGATGATTTTGATGACAGTCTAAATCGTTTATGTTGCTTCTCAGAATCATCTACAGGAGAAGAGGCTACAAAGAGAAAAAGATTCATCTTTATAGTAATGAAATGAAGGAAAATGAAAGATTTTGCCTTTATTGACAAATCATTGGAGCAGATCTTTTAAAAGAATATCTCACTCAAACATGAAACACCAATTTCTACCAAGTCTAGTCCCTATTACATTTAGAAAATCAGGATTCCTAATTTTCAATTTTAATATTCTCTCCTTTACTCCTCCATCTCCAAGGAAGTGATTCTGCTGCATCTCTTTAACACAACTTTCATAACTTTTATTTTTGCCTGAAAACAACACCCTTCAACAACTAGGTATATTATCTTTTCAATTCTCACGGTGTAAATTATCTTGAAGTTCTTCTGAACAGAATTAGATATATTAAAAATTAATTTGGGGCATACAATTTGCATGGTTTGTTTTAACGCTATAGATAGAAAATACTCATTGACAGAAACAGTTCATACATTCTAAATGTTTTGTCAATACATCTTATTAACAGTTCACAAAATACTCTTTCCAGCTGTAACTTACCTTAAAGATAAAAAAAGATGTTAATACAAAGTCTTTTGAAACTTTGCCAGCACAATGAACATGCACATGCATTGCTTAATATAAAGCATTAATTTTTGAGCTCAACAAAAATAAAAGCTTACTATTATATGTTGAAATAAAGGCACAGAAAAATACGCTTGCAAAAAGTGTTACATGATACAGAAAAATATGGTTCTTTTGAATTCCCACTCCTCACCTCCATCTAAGAAGTAATCACTATGTTTATTTCTTACTTTGATTTAGATTATATTATTTAGGCCTGAAACATGAGCAATCTATTAATTACGAAGTCACACTAAAAAGGATTGTTTAAACTTGCTTTAAAGTTGTTTATGATTGCTATGTTAGGCAGAAAATCTTTTGTAATACAAGTCCTTACAACACAAATAAATAAACAGAAAATTTTCTAACACACTTATCTATCAATATTAACAAATAAATGTAAGGTGATCAGTTCTTCATGGGCAAGTTGACAAATTCCCGCTAAAAATTACATTATTCTATTTTCAAAGAACTGACCTTTCTTAAGTAGGAGAAATATGGAGATGTATTAAAAAGCATTTCTCAATAGCCATCACAAACTGTATCATGTTCGGCACAAGCAAGAAGATTCTGAGCACTTTTTAGCTTGCAATGAGAAATTACAAGTATCAGCACAGCCAATTTGCATTCCGTTTGTCATATGAAGCCCAAACAGCTTGAAATATGTTTAGTAGTTTGCTATAACTATTTGGCATGACACATCTTTAGTGTTCTCTTGTACTGCCAAGCAACTGAGCACATTAAATGAGGAGCAATATGGATTTCTAGAACTTGTCTTGAAAGAAGTAGTTGCACATGTGTTCCATACAACTCTGACCTCTCTACAGTATTCAGGATTGCCCAGCATGTATTACAGCTAAGCAGGTATCTGAACCTCCTTATCAGATATCCAAACAAAGCACTTTTATGTATTGTAGCACATAGGTTCATAGTACAGCACAAATTTTAATAACCATACTCTACCCTTCTCTGCATCATCACCTCTGAAAATTCATTTGACTGTTTTACAGAATGGCCCCTTCTGTTGCTGCTCTTTCCATAGGTCTCTATGGTGCTTGTTCAAAAATGGAAAAATGGAGCTCCTAGGTATGGATGGCAGGAAAAAACCATAGTGGAGTGTGAAAACCAGACAAACCACTGGTTTTTTTCTCTCCATGGTTTCCAGATGCTGAATGTACAGTGCTGAGATTCCAGAACTGGGACCAACAACAGTCCAACTAGGGTAAAAAAAACACCCCACTGAGACAGTTTTGCATACAGACTTGATCAGAAATAGCTACTCAATCCTACCATTAGAACACTAAGAACTCTTTTACACACTGGTGTGGACACGAGTTATTTGTTGAACATATAAGCCTTTGCATGAGCAGGCTTCCATTCAGAATGCTCCAGCTGGTGGAAAGAGCAAAGAACATATTTGATGTTTCTCCTCTCAATTTGAATACTATCATGGGCGGGGGGGGGGGTGCCCCAAGCAATTTGATTTGAGGAGAGGGAATAGATGAACATTGGCTCTCCCACCTCTGTTTCATCAGCGAAAATGCCCTGAAGCATTTTCCATGAATGGAAAGAGCCCTTCCATTCATAGAAAGATGGCTACAGGTCCAACTCACTATTTATTTGATTTGTAGGTTGCCCCCTTGGCCACAGGATCTCTGGGCATCTAACAACATATGATGCAGCAATTAACAATGAATTCAAATATATATTAAATTAAAATAGGGTAACCAGCAATAAAAAATAAAATAAATAAAATAAGCTAAAATATGATATAGGGGGAGATAAAATTAAACATTCAATATATTATGCCATTTAAAATAACCTGAAAAGCATATAAAATGAAAATTATACATAATTAAATAAAATTATATGGCTATAAAATCATAATATAACTGCAGCAAGTAACAATGTAGAAACAATTAAAACCATTAAACCAATTGGTGAAACAGAAACATTTTTAACTGGCATCTAAAATAATAAAGAGATGACACCAGCTGGATTTCTGATGGAAGCAAATTCCATAGCTGGGTGTTATTACAGAGAAAGCCCTTCTCCTTGCTGTGTCCTCCTTTACTTCATTGGAGGCAGAAATAAGTAGAAGAGTCTCATATGATGACCTCAGTGATCAGGTTAGTATATAAGGAGATAAGCGTTCCATCAGATACCCTGATCCCAAACCATTTATGGCAGTGGTGGCGAACCTATGGCACATATGCCACAGTGGGCACGCAGAGCCCTCTCTGTTGGCATCCGAACCAAGTCGCCCCAGCAGCTGAGCATCGGATAACAGCGCATGTAGGGGCCATGCGCATGCTCAGAAAGGAGTAGCAGTGCCAGGTGATGATGTCATTAACCGCGACTGGTCCGAGCTGTCGCATGGCCGGTCAGTGCACTGCCAAGTGTGTGTGTGTGTGTGTATTTGCTTGGACTGGCTGTGAGGTGTTTTTTCTAAACTAAAACCTCAGTTTTCAGGTTTTATTGGCAGTGTTGGCACTTTGCGATAAAGAAGTGGGTTTTGGGTTGCAGTTTGGGCACTTGGTCTCTTAAAGGTTCACCATCACTGATTTAGGGCTTTATATGTTATCCTAAGCACCTTGAATTGGGCCCACACAGCAAACGACAGCCAATGTAGCCTGCGCAGGACTGGTGTAATGTATTAACAAGCGCCTGTTCTTGTCAGCAGATATGCTGCCTGATCTTGAACAAGCTGCAGGACTGTTTTCAAGGGCAGCCCCAATTTCTTTAAGCATAAGCAAATGTTTTTGCCTAACTGTACAACTATTCATACACAAAAAGTGCACCATAGAGCATGTACATAACTACTGTAGAATCTTTCTACACCTTTCAGCCACACATCCATGAACTGTGCCTGTGACATGAAAGCAAACTGAGACTCCTTGCTAATTATTTAAATTAATATATAGATCTTTTGCCAGAGATGGCACTCAAGGTGGCAGACAATACAATACAAATTTAAAACAAGCTTTTCATTAAAGCTTAACATTAAAACACAACAAAAGAAACAGACTGCATAAAAATTAAGCAAATATAAATCCTACAGCATCAGAGGAGTTTATATGCCAAAGGCCTATTGATATAAAAACATTATAAAATATTCCTGTCTGCCTATGGAAAGGCAGCAGAAATGAGGCCAACCTAACCTCTCTTGCCAGGGAGCTCCAGAGCAGGGGAACAGCCAATGAGGCCTTTTCTTCCATTCTCATAAAATGTTCCTCTGATGGAAGTGGGACCAAGAGAGGGGCTCCCATGAAACCTGGGCAAATCCCCTATGGGAGAAGGTGGTCTTTCAGGTAGCCTGGTTCCAAGCATACAGGGCTTCATGGATCATTACAAGCACTTTGAATTGTGCCCTGAAAGAGCAGTTATTAGTGAAACAGATGTATGAAAGGGCACATGCTCTATGTAACAGGGCCCAGGCAATGTTGTCTGCTACATCTTGAACCTGCTGCTTCAAAACAGTCTTCAGCAGCAACCTCATATAGACTGTGTTACAATAGTCCAAATGGGATGCAGCTAAGACAAACAGGTAGGTAGTTCTGCCCTCTCAAAGACCAGTTAGCACATGGGACTGTACTGTGTAAACACACTCCTAACCACCAACAGAACCTGGGCTTTCAAATTGCAGGCTGTGATCTTGAGTCTTCAGGGAGACTGCCACCACTAGTGCTGCAGGCTGTTCCCTGATCTGCCTTTTCAAGTAGTTAGAGCACCTCCTTCTTGTCTGACCAGAAAGCCTGGATTAACTTTCAAACTAGTTACTCTCTGTCAGTCCATTACTGACATCAGACACATATTTAGATAGAGCAATGAGAGAGAATTGGGTAATGCTAGCATACCAGAAGCACCAGATAGCCTTTCCCCAGAAGTTTCATGTATATGTTAAATAGCATGGGAAACAAAATGGAATCCTAAAAACACCACAGGCCAACAGACAGAGCATGGAAATGGGCTCCCCCAGCACCAACTACTCAAATTGCACCACAAACCAGTGCCAATCCTGCTACTATGGGCCCCTAATCTGGAGATGTACTATATTATCTTGAAGCCACTTGTTATTAGAGGCTTTACAACTAGCAAACAGTCATTAACTATTACGTACAAACATGAACTTGCAACCCAAACTTTCCAGACTAAAACTTCAATACTACATAAACTAAAGTGTAAAAGTACAAATGTATTCACTTTCAGAACAGTTTTGTTTTAAATTGTCTGTTACCCTTTAAAGTTGCCTGCAATCAAATATAAATTTGTCTGGGTAAGAAACATTTCACTCAAAGTTCCACTGAATTAAGATTACATGTACACATCAACCCAGATTATATATACACATCCCTATTGCTTCTCTGAAATAAGTTGAAAAAAGGTGTTAATCCTGAACTGTGTACTTGGATGCAAGTTCCACTGAAATCAGTTTTACTTGCTTATGAGTAAAAGTGTTTCAGCGATGACAACAATTGGGCATTCTGACATAAAGGGACAGACAAACTACAACCCCAATCAGTCCATTATCAAAATCATGTTCAGGATTCTGCCTTCCACAATCTCTCCTGTTTCACTATTGATATAACCTATTCTAACTCATATGCTAAACACTTCTACTGCAAACTTTAATTTGACTTTACTAAAATATCACTTATGTTGTATTATGAATGGCCAGTTGAATATAGAGCAGCAATTTCTTACAATTCTGAAAATAGGTTAGGAGAATGCTGATGATTACACAAGCTCTTCTCTGCCAAAGCCTTTCTGTGTCATTTATGCCAATCACAGATCAAATAATAATAAAGCCAGAAATATGAAAAGCAGTCACATCACCAGATCATTTGCAAATTCTATAAATGTATATTATTCACTATACTTCACTAATCTTCTATGGCTACTGAATTCAGTTTCATTGTGAGACAAAGATTTTGATACACTAAATTAATATGTAGAAATCCACAGCCATATGCATATGGTCATGTGACACAAAACAAGCAGTCTTAATGAACAAAAGTATTCTGCATTTTTCTGATTATTGCAAGCCATGGCGTTCCTTCAATACTGAAAATATTTTAAAACTGATTTAATAGGGAGTGTACCAAATATATGAACAACCAATAAATTTTTCTTTCAAAATCACATACAATTTAGCTAAGATAATTGAGAAAGTGCACAATTAAATGTGAGGTCATGACTTACAAACAGATTTGTTTCTTTGTAGTTTTATTTATAAATATGCAATATCACATATCAGCACTGGATTAAAAAGCCTAAAACTGGAGCTAGTATCTTGCCTGCAGGTTTGGTAGGACTATGAGTACTGATGGCTGTTAGAGATTTGGTAAACCCCACACATTCCATGGAGAATACTACTACCTGGTGCGGGCTAGGCATAGGGAAGTGCCTACCTGCCAAAGAGAGAAAACACAGACTGCTCTTAGATGGAATATGGCTGTCAAACATAAGATAAATTAATTTTTCACCAATCATTTAAATATCATGCCCATATGTTGTCATAAACAGACGTTTAAAAGATTGTACAGAAAATGTTTATAAAATGCTTTTATATCAGAACTATTACCTTCTTTGTATTGGTTATGCAGTGCACAAGGTAGCTATTCAGTTACACTGGAATAATTTATAGTATAATACTGTGCATGTTTACTTCAGAACCAAGAACCAAGCTCCTGTGACTACAACCCTTTTTTCCACTTAAATAACCCGAAAGACTTGAATCCCATCAAATTACTTGCTTATATGTGAATGTGGCCGTTATGATGAAAGGGCAGCACTGACTGCACTTAATACTAAGCAATTATTCAACACTACATGGATGAAGAGAACGGAGCCTATACAAAGCCTCAAGATTCTGTGTACTCCTGATAGACTGGGGGTGGGGGCAGAAGGAAGACTAAAGCAGAATTCAATTTCACTTTAGAAGATTCCTAACTTCTTGTTAGTAGCTAGTAAGAAACTTCAAGCAAATTTCTAAACAACCACCACACCCTGGACTGTTTTCTTGGCTTCTTTCAGAGCATTTAGAAACACAATTCCTGATAGTATGTCACAATAAAGCAAGAATCTGCTAAAGTGAGGTAGCTTCTGGTTTATTCCTCTTCCTGATTACATGGGAGTAGAAGGGGAGGTGTATGAAGCCAGCATTCTCAGGGCTCCTTTCTACTCAGGCACATAGCACTAAATTATGCTTTATCATAATGGCATAGTGCCATATAGCCTAAGCCAGTTTGCATTAAGAAGGCACTGAGTCTAAAGTTTTTTTTATCAGTGAATGAGAAAGAGAATGAACTAACCCATCTTTGGTGTTTGTTGAACTTGTCCTTTCTTGGGAATCTTCGCTCCTCCACCAAACACAGCAAACCACATTTTGTCATTAAGAGGATGGGCCACAATTCTGTACAGCTCATTGCTGGAATGCATTGCTAGGCCATGGATGAAGAGACTAAGGTAGACTGCTGTCAGAATTTCACACAACAAAACTGTGATTCCAGATTGAGCTTCTTCCCCGGCATGATTCAGTAATTGTATAAAAGCCACTACTCCTAGAAAGAACAAAACCACCATTTAATATGAGACAAGTAAAATACAAAACAGGAACAACTTGCAATTCACCCAAGAGATAATGCAATGTTGGTGACTGAGGGCATCTGCAGGAACTACTGCAAACCATTCTAAGATACAGGCCCTATTTGCATGCAACAGAGACAAATTGTGGGCTTACTAAGGCTGATTGCTGTAGCAAAGGCTCAGCATGTACTACCATCATTCTGAAAATGCAGTCTTTAATAGGCTCAATTGTACATTGCTCTGTGCCATCATGAGACCTGGGACATTACAGATTAAGCACCCATAGATTAACCTAACAGGTAATTGGGTTCATTAACCCACAATGAATCCCTAATATCCAGGTTCTCAAATAGAATGGAATGGAATGGTATAGAGTAGGAAGGGGCCAATAAGGCCACTGAGCCCAACCCATTGCGCTGCTTCCATATGTGGTAACCCATGTGGCTGCACGCCTGTGCCTTTCCAGTTTAGCAAAATTGACTCAACATGCTAGCGCAATGTATAGCTATGCAGGCATTCACAAGTCACAGAGCAACCTCTAACAGTAAGATACAGCAGTAACCCTACTTCAATTGTGTGCTAATTGCCCCACAATTTGCCACCATTATTATGCAAACTAGGTCAATGCAACAGTGTGGTCTATAATTAGTATAAAAACTATATTAAGATATTGTGAGAGAGAGCTCTCTATTCTGGAATATTAAAAGGTCTGGAAACCCAGGACCTTTTCATGCACCTTTTCACCAAGTCTGTTTCAGAAAGCTGATTAAGCCATGATATGCACATAAATGCCCACAGCAATTACAAATTGTGTTCACATATGCGCGATATCCATACTTTCATATTTCCTCTGTAATATTAGATACATTTAGCAAACACCGTTTGCAAAAAATGTGCAGTTAGCTTATCTTTCACAAAAGAAGTATGGAGGGCAAGAAAAAGATGTACAACATATGCACATTATTTAGGAAAGCTACAGACTTCCACTTTGGAAAACCTGTATGCAACACAGGAAAACATTTTTTTTTTTAGCGTTCAAGACTTAATTACTAGTCTTAGTTTGGATGTAGTGCTAAAACATAGGCAGACCTTGGACTCAAGCACTTTCCTGCTTCCTCCACTTTAGTCATGAATTTGGAAACACTTTTTGCCATTTTGGACTAACACACTGTCCAAATGCAGTCAAACCTTATCTATGGTGAGTGGAAACACATCAAACCATAGTTTATTAAGACAGAATTATGGAAGACAAACTATTGTGGTTTTGTTGTTTTAGGTTATTTTATATCGTGTGTGTTTGTGTGTGTTTTAATTTTTTCTTGATTTTTGTTAACTGCCCAGGGAGTCTTGGCTTTTGGGTGGCATAAAAATTAAATAAATAAACACCGCTATAATTAAATACACTTCAGAATTTGGACAACATATTAATCTGCAGTCATTCTGAAACAGAAGATGCTTCCAATTGCTTCATGGTTGCATGCTAGATGAAAAGAAAGGAGGTGGGAAACACATCAGCCTAGCCCAGGATCATTTTCTTAACTTTAAACTGTAGCTTAACATGATGGCTGAAAGCAACCATACATTCCAAAGCCAAGGAAAAAAGTTATTAATTTAATACCTGGCCACTGAGCTGGTGCAGTATTGGGTGTTACTGTTTCATCGGAGCTTGCTGTTCTTAGCGAATGTCGGGTCGAGAGCAGCAATGTCTGATAAATGGTCCCAGTAAATTGATTTGCTTGTAATGAACTAGTTAAAAAGTATGAACAAATAAAGCATTGATTAAGGTGCATCTTATTTTTTTCCAGTATCTTTCAACCCACAGGCCTAATTAGAATATAACATAAATCACAGTTTATCTTAACTCGGGGAGGGGGGGCATTGTACAACTGATCTCAACTAGGATCACTAAACATGGTTTGAGGCTGACAGGCCACAATTGCAATCCACGATTTGAAGTTCGTTTGTGAATCCTGAGTTGTGCAATGGTCTGTCATACTGTATGGATTTGGCATCTTGCTTTTTGTCACTATACTCCACTACTACTCATTTGGCTATAGAGATGCAACAAAGAATGCCTTGACAATGAAGCAGCTCACACAGGCAAGGCTTTCTTGCTGGCACTTGTTCAAATGTCTGCAGTCCTCATTCTGCACAGCAGCAGGCTCATTTCCCTGCTTACTTCATCACTGACAAGACCTCCCACTTCAAATTGTTAAGGGATTTTTAATTTTTAATACACCCCCAATAATGTGTGTTAACTGAAGGCATACTTTTATTCCTAGCAAGCTATAGTGAAATTTCAACAGATCCATGTGGCCATCACACCCATGCACTGTGACTGCCATTATCACTCACCTTCTGCTAAACTTTCTGCAAGAACCTCCTGCACCCTTTATAAATTCTAAGATCTAAATTATTGCAAATACCTGTAACTTTACTTTTTCACTAATAAAGTTTTAATAGTGAAAAAATTGAGTCTCTGTATAAAAAGTGCCAATACTGAAAAGAAACTAGGAAAATAGGTTTAACAAAGAGGTATGTTTTAGAATCGGAGATAGGAGGAAAACATTAAGTTTGTTTCTTGCTCAGAAGTTTGCCAAGAGCAACCAAGTTCTCAAAGGAAGAGACAGTTCCTGCAGTTAGCCAATGTGTAGGTTCATGTCACAACAACCCACTGTCTTACATTACCACAGTGCATTATTCTGAACTACCAGGAAGCCATGATGAGCCTTACATGTGATTGCTTTTCCCACTCCCTGCACCTCTCATTCCTCCAGGTGGTACCCCAGAGATACCATGAGGAGAAATGAAGCTCCTCTCTTTGACAGCCACAAGCTAAGGCTGCCAAGCAAACTCTGTTGCACAAATGCCCTGGAGTGCACCAGAGAGGGTGAGGGAGCTGATCCGGCATCTTCAAATCCTGCTTGAGGCAGAAGCTGGGGGCAAGCAGCACTGCTCAGTTGATTCCCCCAGTCCTGCCTGATGGCGCTCTCTTGAGCAGGAGCAGGGAAGGAATAACCTGATCTGTACAAGACTGTTCTCTTCTCAGCTGCTCTCCACCTAGCCCAGGGCCCCACCTAGCCCAGGCTCCCACTTCTAGAGAGAGTGGATGAAGCAGGGGCAGGGCAGGGAAGAGGGAGCCCGGGCTAAACTAAGATGTACTAAGAATGGAACACTGCTACCTAGCTCAGGTTTGACCTTCCCCACTCATGGCCTGAGTCACTTTTTCTCCAGCAAAGGCAAGGAAGGAGGCAAGCACTGCCTTTCCACTCAATGTTCCTGCTTGGAAGAAAGGCACTCTATCAGACACCAGGTTCTGGGGCCCTGTCAGAGCAGCTTGCTTCCAAAGCAGAAGAGGAAAGGAGAGAACAATCAACCGGGAGGTACTGTCCCAGTTAGGGGCATGCCACCCAGCTGATTCTCTCCCCTTCTGCTTGTTCCTGACAGGTTTCCTATCAGATACATGGGCAGCTGGACAGCACTGTCCCATGTGCAACAGCTGTTGGTGTTCTCTGGATAGCCCCTTGGCAACTGCCAATCTTGCCAATCAGCTCTCCTGCTCCATGCTTTCTCCCATGATGGATTGTGCTTTTTGGGTTCAGGTAACAGAACATGCAGTCATGGTAGACAGAAACCATAAAACAAATGGTTGTTTGTGTGGACCAAGCTTAACCACGGTGAAATACCACAAAAGGGTTCAGATGACCTGACGGACACACAACAATAAACAACCATCATGGCTTTTTGTGGTGTGCAGATGCAGCCAGTGAGAACTATTGAGACCTTATATTCCTTCAGCACACAAAGTACTTCAGTAGAATAGCTAGGTATTAGCTTAGGTGACAGGAACACAAATCAAAGTTTGAAGCTTTGAACATGTGCAAGCCAGATACTGGCTTGTTCAACAAACCATGATTCAAACAAACTATTGTTCCATGCTGCATCTGAGCTAGGGATTTTTAGCTTTCTCTGTACTTCTAAAAATCATTGAAGTAATCTAAGATTTGGTCAATGGGCTCCAACAAGGCAAATTTTAAAAACAAAAAAAATACACGTGACAATGATTAATTTATCAAAGTATGAAGTTAATCTTTTGCACAGTGTTTGCATTACAAAAACACAGATCATTCAACAGTGATATCTGGAGGTCTGCAACTCAAAATATGCTGAAGATATGACTACAAAGTACTGAATGATTATAGCCTTATCATGACTGCTGTATCATAAGCTAGCTATTGTGTTGCTAGATTGGGGTTCTCACTTTGCTCTGGGACCTGATTCTTACAGAACAACCAAATCATCTGCTGTTAGATAAGTGCACATAGGGATGCAGGCTAAGTATTATACATATTTTATCCAGTAAACTATGACTCCAGATCATAGGAAAACAAAAAGGGAAACAAACAGGATTCTTGGCCTACACCAATGCCCACATTTCAAGATCTTTACCTGCAATTATGACCTCCACAGAGAGACTGGTATATGCAAGCTGACAGAGATGCTGCTAAAGTATGCATTACATGTATCTGGAAGAAAAATAGTGTGACACATTATATTTCGAACAGAATTTTTATTTAGATGGTCTTGGAATTTTTTTTCAGAATTATTTAATTGAGACAAATAAAAAATGACACAAGCATTATATCCCCAAATCTAATTTGCAATGAGCAATACTGACTCCCTACAGATACATGTACTAACATGGTCTTCATTCTGGTAGTTCAAAGGGAAGGGTTTTATGCATATAAGAGATGTGCATAGTACAAACTATTTCCAGATTTTCAGAACAATCATTCCAAGAATACAAGCATTTAAAGTCTGACTTGTTATAATACTTGCCTTATTATTTTGTATTTCTGGATGGGGTGGTGAATCAAGGTTTACTATTGCATGTAGTATGTCGTGTGTTAGATTACTAAGATGCAGTAATGGATTGGCCACCACGGTTTTGGCACTTGCAGTACAGGCAAAGAGAAGTGGTATTGAGCTCTGCTCAGATACAGTATTAATAGGCAACTGCTTTGAAAGTTCCTTTACAGAGAGAGGGGAAACAAAACAGAAAGTATGTTTTGATAGCTGAGCATACTACAGGATTAAACACACACACACACACACACACACACACACTAGCATAAGTTTTACAAGTAAACATTACCATACCCTTCCTCCCAAGAATGTTTCCAAAGGTAGAAGAAACAGACCATCTGAAACTTGAACAACAAACTTTGCTTTCTAAGCTGGCGCATGACCTAGTACACTATCTAAGACTGTCCTGTGCCACCTGAGGCAAAGTTGTCTTAACACTAGCAGGAAGCATGATGTCTTTAAACAAACCAAATGAAGCATAAATACTAGAAGCCTGGCCTAATTGTCTGCACCTGTATTCAGAGATCCAACTCAAGCCCAACCTTCAACAATGGTCTACAGGGACCTAGAGATGGAGAACTCTTACCCCAACATTGGTTTGCAAATGCCAATGTCTCACCATGGCTGTTACATAAAGACCAAATGAAATGCAAACTGAAGTCATACTTTGGTAAAGTTCAACATTATCTTCTTTGCTCTAAAAGAAACTGCCAAGATATTATCTGTTCAAATACTAAGAATGATGTATTAAGTATTTCCTTTCAGAGACGGCGCTTTAAATGTAAATTATTTCAAGAAGTATTAATATGCAGTGTAACATCTTTTCATATAATGAACTATATAATGAAATAGAAATACATTACTAAAGTAGCACGGCATGTATACTTAAATTTTGTCAATATTCCTTTATCTTAGACTACACATTGAATATTTAAATACTGACAGCTGCATACCTGTTGAGATTCTTGCAGAAGCAAAATCAGTTCCATCCTTACAGATGCCAAGCCTCCACCATGAGATCCATGGAGGATACAATAACTCAAAAACATTCGCAAAAGTGACTGATACTTTATAAGCCACTGCCTTCTTTGAAAGTGTTCTCTTTGTCGTGTGTCCAACAGATCTTCAGTCATTTCATTTAAGGAGGCCTCATCCACTGCTGAGCTAATTCCTGACTCTATATCTTCTGCTTCAACACTATAGTCACAAGTTTTTTGAAGAGCTACCACTTCTCTTTCAAGCCAATGATACAGCTGGTACCTTAATTTTCCACCATCTACTTCATAGCCAGTGGATAGTGTACGGAGCTCCATTGTAAGAATCTTCAAACATGCCCTAAATTTCAGCTGTGCAGAAATTATGTCTTCTGCTAATGTTAAAACATCATTTTCAACACCTGAACTGTAGGTTTCTGTATAGCTAGAACTAACTTCATTTGGTTTGTCACTCGCTATTTTTTGTAATGGCTTCATTACAAGGCAAGAGTCTTCATTTTCTTCATCTTTGTCACTGTCCCACTTCAGCTCCAAAGGTTCATCCTGAAAAACCATTGTTGGTTGACTCCAATCAAATGAAAGAGCAGAGTTTGAATTTTTGTCTGATGATGCATCTGAAGATGATCCTAAACCATTTACTACTGGTTGTGACCAGTCAATGCTGCTAGATTTGTCATCTTTTAATTCCACTGGTATTGGAGAAGAAGGTGAACAGACTTTGCTAGTATCCCTTAAACTAGGTGATCTTCCTAAAGTCTTTGACCTCTTGACTACTTTAGGCATCTTTGATAGCACTTCCAAAGCCAACATGGGACAGCCAGCCTTTAGGTGTGCATATGCTGTAGTAAAGAACAATCTTCTTTCTCCCAAATTGATTTCATCAGCCAGTCCATTTTCTCCTGTTACACAAATCTTTGTGGAAGTTAACTCAGAGGACCCAAAATGACGTCTCAACAAGAGAGGATGTGTCCTTAGATAATTGTAAAAATTAAAGACTGAAGGGTTACAGTTTGAGATACCTCCTTCATCTGTAAAAGTACCACAGAAGAGAATAAACTGGTTGCAGTTCTTATACAATAAATCCACTGAATGTTCCAACATTATACAGTGTTATAACACAAGTTTATTTATAATCAGAGACAAGACAGACTTCCAAAGTGGTTTTATTTTTGGAACGTAGAAAGCTGTCTTAGCCTAAGTGTTTTTCGGTGCCAGGCGAAGACCTTTTTATTCAAACGTCATTTTAACTGCTAATAGTATTTATTTATTTTTGGCCAGGGTGACTTATTTTATATTGTTAACTTATTTTATATTGTTAATTTATATTTATTTTAATTGACTCATGTTGTGAGTCACCCCGAGGCTTCGGCGAATGGGGCGGCAAAGAAATTTTCTAAATAAATAAATAATAAGTCAGACAATTGGTCCATCAGCTACATTAGGTCAGGTCTGACATAACAGGCAACTGGTTTATTGTTACTGCATACACCTTGGTTTCATAAGGTGCTCTCCTCCCCCAGATGGGCTACAAGAAGATTAGAAGCTTTTGTTTAATTCAATTAACCATAGTTTAGCAATTTGTCTAAACCCTGGTGTGTGGTAAATCTCAACTGTGGTAATTTCAAACAAGCCAGCTACACAGCTATGTTTGGAATTGGTTTGTTTCAATACAGCTCACCTGGGTCAGATATAATACTTAATTATGGTTCATGTGGAACTTCTTCTGTCTACTGAAAAAGTAAAGAGGGAAGGAAAGGGTTCTTGCAATAATAATCAGGGGTCTCCAACTGTTTTTGACTGTTAGCATATTTGAAATTTGGGAAAGCATCTTGAATGCCAAATCAAAATAGCTGCCATGTGGGATACCAATTCACAAAATGGCTGCTGTGGTGGATATAGCCAATAAAAATGCACCTTTGTCACAAAATACAAACTGGTGAGGTTAAAAGTCAAATAACTTGACCAAAATTCTAAATACATGGTCAAAGTGAGACCTGTGTCCCAAAATACAAATGCTTTCTTTTGAACCCAATTTTCTTTCTCAAGTTCAGTATTCAGCCAAGAAAGCTCTTGCCCCCCAAAGATCTACTCATCCCACACTGGCAGCACACAAGATATAGTCACCCCGGTCATTTATTTCCCTTTTTATTCTCACACCACACACACACATACATACATCCTTTCCACAACCTCTCCAGCTCCATGTTTACTGGGCAGCAGTTTCCTTTATTTTTTAAAAAAAAGTTTGGCAGATGACTGGGAAGCACAGCTCAACTGCCTTAGTCTCTTCCTTTTCTTTTGAAAAATGCTCTGGATCTACTTGGAGCCTAGAGATATGCTAGTGAGGGGACAGCAGGAGAGTGGAAAGGGAATTCCAACACTTTGTATCTGCCTTTAAAAAAAAGCATCATGATGGCAGGGTGCCTTTGCAGAAGTCAAGGAGGTAAAAAGGGCACTCAAAATTCTCAATGTCCCATTTGGCCCAAAAGGTTGGAGACAACTGATCTGTATTGCCAGTCTGAACCAGCAAAGCACTTCTAAAGTATTGTTTAGACCTTACTGCCATCCCCTAAGGAAGCCTTCTCTTCAGAAGATAGCTTCTTTAACAGGGATTCATATTGAAGAGCATATTTAAAATGCCTCAAGCTTACCTTCCTCATCCAAAATGGGTTGGCTTATAAGAGTATCAAGAGCATGGCTATAATCCTCCAAAATCCAATAAGCCATACTTCGGAGAAAAGGATCAGCATGTGTATTTGATGGACTTCCAGTGGAATGTGGTCTACTTCCAATAATTCTCTTCTGTAGAATTGATTTGTAAGTCCCAGATATTTCAAACTCTGGCTCATAAAGTCTTGCTATTACAAGAGCCAGCTGAATATCGTTTAGTTTTTCTAGGCACACCTAAATGAAACAAATGTGAGTTTTAAAAACAGTCTTCTAAATTGTCTGAAACTTTGAAGGGACATTCCAAAAAGGAATATAAAGTCCAACACCAAGCAAGTTAAATAAGTAAAAATTATTTTTTCTTGATTAAGAGGATTAGATTGGGATGTGGGAGGTCTTCTAGTACCTACTTTGCCATGAACCTCATTGGGTGCCTTTGGAACAGTCAATGACACTTAACCTAATCTATCTCACAGCTGCTGTTGTGAGGATAAAATGGACAGGAAAACCTTGCAATCTGCCTTGGGTTGCTTGCAAGAGGAAGAAAGGTGGAATACAAACATTAATGGCAGTATTATTTTAAACTTTAAGCACAGAACGTTGTGCTATCAGTAAGAAATGGAGCCGCTGGGATCACAAGTACGGACAAGTCAACGGCCTGTTAAATCAGACAAAGGAATCAGTGGAGCCAGAGCACGAGTGGCCAAAGCCAAATGAGCACAAGACCAGGGCTGCTCCTGAATGGGACTGTGCATGTTTTCTCTGACAAGACTTTCTGCTTCCAGCTCATTTCTTCCCTTTTCCAGACTTCATGTCTGTTGCCTAGCAAGACCATTTCCACAGTCTGCTCTGTCACTGTTACAGAATGATTTGGTCAGATTACGATTTGCAAAAGTTGGCTAAGAGTGATCGTAATTAGGATTAACCACTGCCAAAGTAGGAAGAGATTCCAAGCCACTAGAAGGAGGGCTGAAGGGAATTCATGGCACAAAGGGAAGGTCCAATGGTATTTTTAGAACTGCAAGCATATCCTTCTTCCTAGAGTGCATGTTCATATGTGAGGCCATGAGCCATATCACTGCACATGCATGGGGTTTCTGCTACCAGCTAGGCACTCAAGTTACAACACTTACCTTTCCAAAAAGCATGCAGTTGTGCTTATGTGCAGAAGACTGTACCTCACTGGGCATCAATCATAATGTAAAATTCTAACCCTGTATGTGCTATTAAAACTAATGCCCTATTTATTATTTATTAGATTGCTATCCTGCATTATTACACAGGGGCTCCCTTTACTTAAAAGCAAAGTAAAGAAACAAAGACTAGGTTGCATTGAACCCCGGCCATCTACCAATGAAAGAAAAACTGCTGTCGAAATGGATTTCTCTGCAAGGTCTGGGGTGCAGGTGGCAAGCTATCAAGATTGGGATGCCCGGACCAGGGCACAGGTGTGAGGTGGATTTCTGCAGCGGGGCCAGATGCAAGAAGAGTGTTGGTTTAACAGCTCAGGGTCAAAGCCAGTGACAATGCAGTTCAGACAAGCATACAGTCCGATGACACACAGTCTAAGATCACAATCCAAGAAAACATTCTAGAGGTCAGGTACCAGGAAGACCGCCATTCCCTGGGGCTGGCAGGGTTGGGGAAGAAGGATGCATAATTGCTCCTCAGTTGTTCCCTGCAAGCACCTGCAAAGGTATTCCTGGTTCTGCAGGCACTGCCAGGGGTGGTCAGGCCCTGATCTTGACATTCCCCTCCTCACTGCAGATTCTGGCGCACACCCTAAATCTGCTTCAGGGGGTTAAGCAGCTCACCAGAGCAGATTTTGGGGAGAGGCAGGGCTGGAGAAGGGGGGATACAAAGGAAATTTCCATTGTGCAAGGGAAAGTCCCACTGTACAACACTGGATTTAACCTACTATACTTAGGCACGATACAAAACAGAATTTGCAAAATAAAAGATGCCAAAGTAAAGGCAAACAATTATTTCATTGTATTACCTCAACTGCATCCTTTAGGTGACCAGCCAACAAGAAAAATGCTGCAGAATGTTCAAAACGCTGTTTGCCTAGTAAAGAAAAGGCATTCTTCAGTGCTGCTTTGCGCCACCTGTCTTCAGTAAAATTGTGTCCAAAGAACTCTGTCATCTTAGTATTGTTAAGGGACCTGAAAATGTAAGCATTTTATACACTTTAGGGCAATACATTAAATAAACCTGTTTGCTGAAGATTGACTTCTTTTCCTCAGTTGATGCAATCTCATGCTTTGCAAAAGTATAAAAGTAGTTCTCTTCCCAATCTCCAAAGTAACCTTACCCTTACAGGCAATGATAGGAGGTGTCCCTCTGAAGAACTATTCCATGACCCCAGAAAACAGAATTCCCAAAAGACTGATAGGCCAGAGCCAATGGAATTCCCTATTCCATCAAGATACCATAGAAGCAGAAACTTTCTTCTTCAGTATACTATTCTGAAATGATCTGAACAAATCTTCTAATTGAAGCAGTTTTATAAGGATGAAAGAAAGCACCCTCAAAACAACCAAGCGTGTTCCTGTGAGAGTACCAGTTTAGGAGAGAACTAAAGCAATGTTATCTCTTCTACCAGAACTGACCCTGGGGAGAAAAGACAGGTCATTCTTAAGATAAAACTTGCCCTGATGTGACACATAGAGCTAAGAGTTAAATGACAGTGCTCTAAGTTATTAAGTCTGGAGAAAGCTACAATCACACTGACAGGGGAATGCTAGAACTGTAAGTAATTTGGGTTTCAGGTCAAGAATCTATGCACAGTAATGAGAATTAGATGCTTTTCCTTCCAGGAAACTTCTAAGTATGTGGGCAACTAGCTAAGGAAGCCTTTGCACCCTAGAACACAGTTCAGAGCTGCTACCTGATATTTTAGCATGCTATCGTTCAGCCTTCTGAAAAGACCAGCCTTTAGAAACTCTGTTATATAACTGTACCTGTATAATCCCCAAATCACAGCCTTCTTTTTCATTGCAAGGTAAAAAATTGCTGCATCTAATGGGTCGTTGTTTCTTTGAAAAGCGGCTTTAGCGACCTGTAAAAGATAATAAGACACCAAATATTCATATATATATAGCATACTTCCACATAGATGTCTGAAAACAATTATCAAGCAGCAACCTGAGACTTTGTCAAAACTGTCCAGGCTAGTTTAAGCATAACAGGCAGGGTGGAAATGTCATCCAGACAGCACAAGCAGCCTAAGGTTACATTCATTCATTCATTCATTCATTTAGTAAACTTCTACATGCCCAGAATGCAGAGCAAACCAGTGGTAAAGAGGCTGCTAATGTAATGAAGCCTTGTCAGGAGTTGCCCACTTAGCAGTGTTGCAAATATCCTGAGATACGGGCTGGGAATGAGCAGAAGTGAGGGTAGAAAAAGAACAACTCATGAATCGGTAAAACAAGCCATGATGTGTTTGATTGTGTGGCGGCCATGGGTTAACTCAACAAGCCACAGGTTAATTAAGCCCTGCATTGCTGTTATGTATAAGCAAGGTCATTGATTCATAAGTATTTCCTTAGCTACTTTACATTTTGCCTTTTACCAGAAACATCTAAAGAACGTACATTTATTATTTTTGTTATCCATATTAAAAACTTCTTTCTGCTAAAGACTGCTTAAATCAACTGTATTAAACTACAGTAGCAGAATAAAGGCTTACAACATGATATAATTCAGTTTCTTAAACATTGCACTTACCTTTTCAATGCACCTGCGTAAGCTATGGGTGTTTCGAACCCACCATCCTACACCCATTGCTCTGAGTTCTGACCATGTTGGATCAGCTTTTTGCATTGCAGGAAGCATGCTTAACAGTTGTTCCTCAGCTACTGAATGAAATGCCCAGGCAAAATGACTAGAAGACAAACCTGAATTATCCAAAAACATTATAGCAGTTTTGTTATCATGTTACCTTGATAAAAGTTTAGAAACTCTTCTACTTATAATTTTAAAGGGCGCTGAAAACACACCAACTAAGAACTCATATTACTAACTTTAATTTGTGTGTGTAATAAACTGTGCTGATCTGTCTCAAAAGTGTGAGAAGGGTTAGGGCAGAAGAAAGGAAGCATGAAGTCCTGAAAGCTGTGAAACAAGGTGTCAGTCCAAACAAGTATGCAGGCAGTGAGTGGCAGATTCCTTTCACCTGGTGCACATACACTCCAAGGAAGACTCCTCCCTCTGATCTTAAATTCTCGAGTTGGCTGATTCCAAAGCCATAGCTAAAATGCCCTTCCCCAATGGAAACACTAAACCTTATATAAGATGACATGTAGGGAAACACAGAAACAGAGCGAGTCAGAAGGGGTCTCTCAGGCCATCTAGTCTGACCCCCAGCTACAGCCGGCTCTGCTCACAACATGCCCACTATGTGCATGTCCAAACATAAACCTGTAAGGGATCAAAGGAGTTGCCTTGATGGGCAAGCTATTACTGTTGTAACCCACCCTCAGGGAGGCTTGTACTGCTCGTGGCCCTGATGGCAGGAATACAAAGCATGACTTAACTGGTCTGATCATCTGACCTAGCGCTGAACCACAGGCCTGGTTAAGTTACAGCCACACCCATCCCTGCTGCATTGGAACCAGTGTTTTCCCCTGAACCAGTGGCAGTCTGGCTCTCCCCAGCCACTCGACTTACCCCACCACTTACTGGCCTGGGTAATTCAGCTAAGCATTCTGACCCTGCCTCTTTTTCCAGATCAGATTAGAGTCTGCTATATCTACCTTGGAATGCTCAATTTTGGAAGAAGTCCCTATACTCCTGCCACTAAAGATCCACTGTTGCTGCCACTTTTGGTTCTTCCTACAGGAATTGCTTTAGAGACTCTGCATTATTAATGCAGCCAGGCTGAGTGGCAATTGGACTGCATACTGTTAGCAAACTCTGGGTGAAGCAGGGCTGTACAGGCAGCAGTTTGAAATCTATTTTACATGCATTGTATTGTCTTTTTCAGTCTTGCAGGCTTAAGTACAGTAATGGGCCAGAGCATGAAGGCCAGAGATAGTGGAAAGTGGAAGAGGCTTTAAAGAACTGAAATCAGAAAATTGAGTAAATAATATTCAAGTTTGAATAAAGAGTTTAGAAACATTGGGGTTTTTTGGAATATAAAAAGATCTCTAATGGTAATACTGGTCCAAAGTGAGGGAAACTGGAAAAAAAGCTGGGATAACAGCACTTCTTTCAAATGTGGTGTGATTCCTGCCTTCCTGAGCAGTGAAAGCAGATGGCTGTTGTGTGTGTTTGATAGGAACTGTTTGTGAGGATGAAATTGCTGTGGAATCTCAACACATCCAAGAGGCAGACCAAGGACAGGGGTCATCTAAGAAGATAGAGAGGGAAGAGTTGGTGACAGCCCGGGTCACACTCACCCATGGGAATGAGGAGATAGGGGAAGACAAAGAGGGGTTGACAGTTTGGGCTGGTGGGAACTTTGGTCTACCAAGCCATTGGGAGGATATGAAACCAGAAGATGGACACATTTTATAGCAGGGCAGTGGTGACAGGGAGCTCAGCAGTTTGTTGGACAGGAGTCCCTCCCCCTGAAGAGGTGGCACCAGTTGCTGGGCACCAGCATCAGCAGGAGGTTCAACTGAAGGTGCAACATTTCACTCTGGAGGAATTTAGAGGCATATAACAATCAAGTCATATAACCACAGTTCTCCGTCAGCTTAACTGGCTCCCCATTCAAGGTGTTGGTTATCACCTATAAAGCCCTCAACGGCTTGGGACCTGGTTATCTAAAGGAATGCTTGCGTCCATATATGCCCTCCCGCCCCTTGAGAGCGGCAGCAGAGGCCCTTCTCCGGGAGCCCTCCGTGAAAGATATTAGGAGGGTGAGTACTCGGAGGAGGGCCTTCTCTGCGGTGGCGCCCCACCTGTGGAATGCACTCCCCAGAGAGGTCCGCCTGGCGCCATCATTATTTGTTTTTCGGCGCCAGGCCAAGACCTTTTTATTTAAAAGTTATTTTAATTGTTAATTTATGAATTGTATTTATTGTGTTTTTATGTACATGCCGAGATGTTTCCGTTTTTTAACTCTAATTATATAACTGTTTATTTATGTTTATTTATTAAGGCTGTAAGCCGCCCCGAGGCTTTTTGCGAATGGGGTGGCATAAAAATGGTTTAAATAAATAAATAAATAAATAAATAAATAAATAAATAAATAAATAAGTCTGTTGGGAAAAGGAGTTCTGGAATACTGTGTTTACTCAAGAGGAGGACCCTGGCTCACAACAATGACCCAGTTTTTGGATGCTTGTCCCACTAACCACAGAAATGTAGCTGTGTTAGCCCAGCCCAGAACCAAAACAGTCACCACCAAACTAACCTGTTTGTCTTATCAGATAATGGAGGCTTAGCTGTTCATTAGAAACCATGTTAGAGCAGGTCAGGATATTAGGCTGTATGTTTTTCAAGAAAATCTTTTGTATCAGTCACTGCAATGTCTCTTTAACACAGAACTGTCTAATTCAGCTGACTGCTTGCAGGGCAATACAGCTAACATGTCTCTTAAACATGTTTTGGCAATGCCTGGTATTTGCTTCTTTCGGGGAGGAAGTTATTACACAGATCAACTATGTACTGAAACAGTTTTTAAAATTGATTGATGAATATACCCTTTTCTTCATGCAAACTGACAAGCAGGAGAGGTAACAAGTTCTCTATGTCCTTTTCATAGCTAAAATACTGAAATTACATCACTGGAAGGAGACCTCCTATAATGCAATGGATTCAGGACCTTACAACACTCTTAATATACAAACATGTTGCTTGTAGAAGCCAACTTCAAATGGATAGTTGTCGGGTCTGCTTTTAAAATTCTATTCATTATTGTTAGAAAGTTGTATGTTTTTTTTTTACAAATCCGGGTATGCATATTTTTTAAAAATGGGTTCCTATGAGCACTATATTGGGGACACCTTTGTAGGCGTCACTGGAGACACCTCCCGCAACCAGCGTTAGATGCAAATTGAGAAGAAAACATTACCTTGATGAAGTAGCTGTGCTTTCTGAGCAGGTGGCAGTGCAGTCGTCATGAATGTGTGAAGGCGTACAGCCAGAAGAAATTTTAAACCACATTCATCAAGTGTTTCTCCTCCTATGAATAAAGATTATCTATATAATTAAATTATCTTAAACATTGCAACTTCATTTGTTAAACTTCTTTTCTTATTTTACAAGATACAGATTATATACAGTGTTCTCTGGCAGATATGTTGGACAATTTCACAAGAGAGGGAAGCAAAGTCACATGTATAGAAAAAAGAAAGTCCATGCTGGATGACACCAGAGGTCCGTTCATTTCAGCATTCTGTACACACAGTGGCAAACCAGCTGCCCAAAGGATCCCTCAAGCAGGATGGGTGCAAAACTTCAGCCTGCCTAAGCTCCACAGCAACTGGTGTATGCAGGCATGCCACTGCTGGTGAAGAGGATAGCACATAACCAACGAGGCTAGTAGCCACTGAAAGCCTTCTCCATGATTTTGTCCAATCCTCTTTTAAAGACATCCAAATTGGTGCCCACCAGCACTTCCTGTGGCAGTGAATTCCATAGTTTAACTATACACTATGAAGAAGTACCTCCTTTTAGATGTCCTACACCTCCCATCAAGCAGCTTCTTGGGATGACCCCAAGTTCAAGCATTATGGAAAAGGAAGAAAAATGTCTCCCCCTCCACACCATGCATAATTTTAAACACCTCTATCAAGCCTCACCTTACTCTCCTGTTCAAAGAAGATAAGGAGCAAACAAATCTATAAAGATTTCAGAGATCCCAACCCCTTTTATAATTAACGGTTGTGCTGTGTGTGACTGTTAACAATGCTAATGAACTTGACAGTACTGAACTTCCTAATTCAACGTGCTTACTTAGTATCACATTCAAGAGGATGAATTTCTAGGTTTGCACCCTAATCCTAAATCACTGAAACAACTTTAAAAGATAAAAATCCTACACAAATGTATGGGATAGAATGCAAATGGAAAAACCGAATGTCTTAGAAAACTTACCCTTGCTTCTGTCTCTGCTTTCTCCTATATCAGTGCTGGTAATGGCAATTGTATCAACTAAGGCCATCAATGACATCTGCTCCATCCTGGTAAGACCTGGCAAGCTAGAGTGAAGCAAGTGATGAGAGAGAACTTGGGCATGCTCCGGTCCAAAATACGTCGGGCTGTACTGAGACAGATCAATAACTTTTGGCTTTTTATCTTCTTCATCTACTTCAAACATAGTCAGATCATCTGAAGGTAGGGTGGAATTCTGAAAAAGGTCCTCATAATTTTCATCGGTTACATCACATTTCTTAAGGTTTCTTTGGTTATTGGACTTTTCTGTACAAGCATATGAACATTCCTCATCTGCAGCAAGGAGTGCGTATAAAGGAAGTGGTGGAACAGAGTCTATTTCTGTATAGTCTGCGATTGTGCATCTGCTGAATGTCATAGGGTCTCGTGTACTGCTCCCACTAGCACAGATTGAGAGAGATCGGTACCGCTTTTCATGGTCAGGTTCATTTATAGCAATAACCTCTCCGGCTATGCATTTAACAAGGTGAGACAGAATGGCTTTTGCTCTACGCACTTTTCCTAGATCCATTAGTTCCAGAAGTTGCAGAGGATGGTACTGTGGTAAAGTAGGACATAAGGAATGAGCTGCTTCAAAGAGACCCGAATCTTCCATCTCCAGTGATAGATCAAATGCAGTTCGTTTCCCACTAAGTTTCTGAGCAAGACTTGTCATGGATCTGGTTAATGTTCGCTTTGGAGGATGAGCACCAGATGACTGGCTGTGTTTCATTAAGCTTATTATGGATGGTGTACTCCCACTGCAGGAGTCTACAGCAATGGGCTCTTGCTTTGAAAGGGGCTGCCACTGAGAATAAACATGCATTTCACAGTCCATCCCAACAACGAGGATGCCATCACGAACCCAGGATAAGGAGATAGGCAAAGGGGGTGAGCCTTCCACTGATGAAACTAAATCTACACATCGTAACAATATAAATCTAGATGTACATGAAATTTTAGCATTTTCCCACACTGGCAGTACAAACATCTCCTTACCACTTTGTTCTTGCACTTTCCCAGCAAGCTGACCAAACATATAAAGCTTTGACCCAATACCTACTGTTAAGATATGTGAGCCATCTTCCCTAGACATCCAGTCTAAGTGAACCAAATGCTTTATTCTTAATGTTAAACTCTCATTCCCATCTACTGCCAAACTGCTGTCAACAAGCAAAGAGTCCAATGTTAGGTTTAGTTCGTCTAAATGAAGTGTTTGTTCCAAGATCCAACAAGAGCCGCCCGTAGATTCACATTCAAAAATGCCAACATTCACCAAAAAGTCTTGAGAAGGATTGCAGCTTTTGGATGGTGCTCGCTTGTATGCCACAGCTAAACGATTTGTATGTGCACAGCTAATTTCAAGAGGCATGCCCGGCACATTAAGAGCACTACTAGTGAGAAGTCCATCTTCTATAAGTAATGGCCATTCTTCCCATATATACATACCGCCGTTTGTAGTGCCCTCTGGTACAGAAGCCACATCTGGCTCCAGTGCCATTCTACACCTCCAAAACCTAACCTTACCATCTGAACATAAAGTTGCAAGAAGATAAGGAGCATGGCATACTGGATAAATGGAAGAAGAACTCAAATGACCTAAAATTAAAAAGAAACACCCTTCAGAATATCAAAATGTAAGAAATAAGTTCTACATATATTTTAAAGCTATAATTTCTTGATTTTTGAAAGGCAATGCTGATTGCTAGATATAAAGTTCCACAAATCTGGCATGCTGATGTTTGCTGTAACAGTGTGATTTTAAAAAATTAATATCAATATTTGGTATTTTTAGATCTATACTTGCTTTGTAAACCACTAAGATAACAATCTGACAAGGAGAAAACTGCAAAGAACATGTAAAACCATGGTTTCCTGCCATGCTTATTCATGTTTTACAAACCTGCTGATGGCTTAATGCTTATTATCGCCACTCCTTCTGGTAAATTCATTTCTTGACTATAGACAATTTCAGAAGAAAGAGAAAGTTGGCTGGTACTTTGAAGGTTCTCTCTGCATGCTTGATATTTCTTTGTAAAAGAACACTGGCGTTTCTCTTGATCTGGAGAAGAATAAAGCTCTTCTTGTGATGCTGCTTCTGATGCCTTCAAATCAATGTTTTCATCTAAAAGAAGGCAACATTTTAGTTAGAAGAGCTACAAATTCTGTTTTATGGAAACTTGAAAGAAATTCTATGAATTGAAATTCTAATTCCGTCATCAGACCTATTTTAGTATGGACAAGGTATGAATGTTCTAAACAAATAAATACAATATTCCAATCCTGGGATTTGTACTGACCTATTTCCCTGCAATGTAAGCTTACTATGTTTGTCATACGGCAGACACACAACAGCTGCGTATCTGCTGGCAGATTAAACTGTTCAAACAAATTCATGTAATAGTGTAGCATTCTGGGCATTAGTTATATTTATTATTCATTAAACTATACTGGCAAGCAGCAACCATCACACTATCTCTTTAAGCGTTCAAGCATGGACATTTCCTATGATTACATAGAAAGAACATGCAGAATGAATTTGCCTTTGCTCATTAAATTAAAGATAAAACTTATATTAAAAGCCAAATTAGTTCTGCTGCTAAGAAAATGCTTCTTCCTGATGTGGGAGAAAGAGGTTTGACCATAGAGATCCTGAGCAGAGCAAAAAGGAGGTTGTACAGATACACATGTGTCGGGGGAGGGTGCAGATTCGTGTATTTATACCCCTAGCTTAGCTTCTTGACAGCAAGAGGGTTGTAGACTTAGCTACGCGAGCTTCAGGGCTGGCAAGTTCATGGGGGTTTAAAGCTGGCTCAACCCCATTTCCACCAACAGAACACCCAATTGCAGGTCTATCTACCTGCTCCTACAAATGACAGCTTTCTGCCTGTACCCACAATGAAGTTGGCCCACCTCAAATGTGAGAACTTTTTATAGGTAAAGACAAATCCATACCTGTATAACATTTGAAAGGGAATGCAAAACATTCAAAATAGGACTGCTATTATTACTTGGCATATTGTATTGTGTCACAATCAAATGAGAAAAGTTTAAAAAAATCCAAGAAATAAATGCTTACAATCATATGATTTAGATTACAATTACTGAGAACCTACCCACTGAGACGGGCATGGACTTCAAATGTAATTTCCACATATGTAATAATGAGCAGTTTTGAATATATTCGATTACAATTAAATAGAATTTTTCAGAATATCCATTTTTCTGATATCCTGTAAAAATAAAGAGATTCTGTTTATTACAACATAACAATTCATTAAGGACATTTCATTGGAAACCAAGGCCAAGATCATCCACCCCATTGTATTCCCTATCATTATGTGCAGGTGTGAAAGCTGGACAGTGAAGGAAGCTGACAGGAAGAAACTTGATATGTTCAAAACACAGTGCTAGAGGAGAACATTATGCATATTCTGAACTGACAGCAAGCCAAACATCTGGATTCTAGATTGCATCAAGTTAATGTTTTCCCTAGAAGCAAAAATGAAAAAACTGAAGCTGTTGTACTTGGGCATATCATGAGAAGACAAAACTCCCTGCAGAAGACAATCATGCTAGCGAAAGTCAAAGGCAGAAGAAGAAAAGGAAGCCCAAATATGTGGTAGATTGTAAAGGAAGTCACAGCCTTGAACTTAGAAGAGCTGCACGGGGCTGTTCTGGACAGGCCATTTTAGAGGTCCTTTCATTCACAGGGTTGCTGTAAGTCTATGCTGACCTGATGGCATATAACAAGTAGAGACAGGAACCTTTCAGTGGTGCCCTCCATCTCACTTCCTACACGAACATTTTTAAAATGGCATTTGAAGAACTTTATTTCATTCTGTTTTTAATTAGGACAGAGTGCTCTAGATTTGTTTGTTCCTAGCATTCTTATTTCAAGATTTTTTAAAATCCTCATACATAGCTTACTGTTATCTATTATACTCTTGCTGCACTCATGTGACAATGTTATAATAAACTGTGGTGGATGATGACTTTATGACCAATATCATAGTACTATGAATAATTTAGAATGATGATTTGGTATGCCAGGTCCTTAAGTGGGACATACATATGTAGAAATTAAACTAATAAATGTGAGTACAACTCATTTCTTTCAAAAGAACCTAAGAAGATAATGAAAAGCCATGCTGGATCAGGCCAAAGGTCCATCCAGTCCAGACACCAATGCACATGGTGGCAAGCCAGCTGCCCACAGCATCATTCAAGCAAGATGGGTGCAAGGCCTCCTTGTGCCCAAGCTCCTCAGCAGCTGGTGTATGCATGCATGTCACCTCTGGTAAAGGAACAGCACATAGCCAGCAACACTAGTAGCCCACTGATAGTCTCCTCCCTCCTGAATCTTCCTATCCATTTTTAAAGCCATCCAGATTAGCAGCCTTCACCACTTTCTGTGGCAACAAATACACTGTGTGAAAAAGTAGTTCCTTTTATCTGTCCACAAATGAGTTTCATGATTTCAATAGGACACACTTCATAATAATGACTACAACTGAGGAAGGAAGCATTTTAAGGCCTTCCTAGGAATGCAAATGAGGAAACGAGGATTAAACCTCCACTTCCCATGTACTGTGGTATGGGTGAAAAGCTTATTTTAGTTTTATTTAAAAGGATACTTAGGCCATCTAGAAGAGCATAATCTAGCCAATGCAGTGTACCAAATAAAAACAGAACAATATACAAATACAGATAATGCTCCACCCGTTTTGCTAGTAAATTAAAATAAGCTGATGTGATTGCCAATTATGTGTATAGCATCTTGTTTAGATTTGTCCTTACTTCCAAATAATTATACAGGGGATTGTCTTACAGCCTCAATCCAGTCTGTTTAAGCATATATAAATGATTATAAATGATCTTGTGGTAATACAGCACTGTTAAATGGTAGCCATTAATCTATACATGCCTCCATCATCTTTATATTCTGAAGAATTTAAAACAGTAAACTGAAATGTGGCAAAGAGTTTCTTATAGGTATATCTATTACATATAAGTGAACAAAAAGGCCAGAAGATACTCAGATTTTCTAGAGCTTATAAGGTGATAAAATTCAGGTGACAGACTATTTCAAAACATGGATGGGGTTCAATTTTTGATTTTTTTCCTGTCTTGATCACATAGTACACTCACTAGAAACTAGCACATAGAAGCTTTCAGAGAATCTTTTTGGTTGAAAAGGAATGTACAAACATGGTACCTACTACCAGCAGTCTGAAATGGTACAGTCTACTGTACCATGTCAGAATTATATCAACTTCTATAAAATTATATCAATTATATCAATTCTGCTACATGTGTAGACCAGACCTTGTTCTTCTTTTCTTCATTACTAGTAACAGAAATTATTTGAATCATGACAAAAGGCAATGCCAGCTGATTGTTAATTTGCAGTATTGAAAATTTACTTGGCATACAATTTAAGAATTTAGGACATAAGCACTATTTTAAAGAATATAGAAGCCCCCCAAAAGTTTCTTCCAACAAAGTTTAGAGAGTTTGGGTCAGTGGCTGGTATAGAAATAAAATTTATACAAAATATATACAACAACAACATCTGTCATAGATTTCTCATGCTAATGAAACCATAAGACCAAATCTCTATCAATTTCCTTATTACGTGCTAGATTAAAATTACTACTTTGAGTTCTCTATTTTAGTAAAACCCAGGCTACACAAGCAATGCTACAAACCACACAAGCTAGCTGTTTCACAATCATCATCATTTCATTGGACTAAAAATTTACTAAACATATATCTGCTTTACCAGAGTCAGGTAACAAAGTCTTTTTTTCAGATAGTCTATTCTCAGGATTATTCAAAATGAATTCTTCTTGAAAAACATGAAGTAACTGCATTTTCCCACCATGCTAAATTAAAAACAAACAAACACACATATAAATACAGTATAGCGATTATAATAGCACTCACTGATCATGACACTAAATTTTGATGGGGTATTTTGTTATTAAGTTTTTTGATTGGAAATACTGTAAATAACTAACACTTCACTAGCATTGTGGGCAGGATTGCACAACAGTAACCCAACTGGGACTGTTACCCACAGACTTCGGGTAAAATTCCCCTGTGCCTGACTATCAGGCATAGCAGGAGCTTCTGTCCCTCCACCTCCTGCTGTTCCCATCTTTTCCCCACTTCGTCATTCTGCAGTATCTCAGGGGACACAGCAAGAGCACTGAGGGCGCAATGATGCCTGCAACCCCAGTTTGGCACTTTTGGCCAGCAGCATCCACTTCCATGCAGCTGACCAGCAGGAAAGAGGCAGAGGCTGCATTTGGCTGGATGTGGCTCCTTCCCTGGGAGGCATCCTGGTCAAAAGCATTACATCCTTGGATAGTGTTGCATTCACAGGAGCCACATCACCCAAGAGCAGGAGGGTGAGCTGGTTCTGCTGTGTGGACTTCTTTCCAAGTCCCATATGGGGTTTGGGACGGGAGTACAGGGCAGGCTTCACTCTCATCCTTGTAAAAAAGCAAGCAGACTAGCTCACTCCTGCCTGATCAAACTCACCAGCCTCCCTGGGCTCCTGCTGCTGTCAATCTCCTTCTTGCAGCAGCAGGAGCCTGGGGAGAAACTGATGACAGCCACACTAGAGCCTGGTGGGTTATTTAAACCCTACAACAAGGCATAGGTAACTGAGGTTGTTTATAAACCATCCCATAGCAATAGTGCTTGTTGGGACAAGTTAATCTACCGTGGTTTATAAGTCATAGTGCATTATCATGTTATTCTTACCCTGCTATGGTTCCTAGGACTTATAAAATGCAAAAGCCTTACCAGTTCTGTAATGGAATCCAACTCTACAATGCATCCTGGTCTAGCTGTAGATTGTTGACTTATAATGTTGAAAACTTCCCCAACGTATTTCTATAGTAATGAAGACCAGTAGTTAAGATTTGAAATCACAGAATTCATTTTAGTTACCTTATTTCATAATCCTTTGTGAATCTCAGTGTAAAGTAATCAAGATATACCAAAAGGTGTGGCAACCTTCGCTGCCCACACCCTGGGGTGATGCAGGTACTTAACTTTGTTACTGTGGGTTTCTTTCCTGATAAAAATCATCACAACTATTTTCACACCCACAGTGATCAGGAGAGAGAGCACTTCCGCAGGCCTGTGAAGTTTATTTTTTAGCAAAGGAATCTCCCTACTTTCCTGTTCAAAATCAGATCTACCCAATAAAATCAAATACAAACATGACAGTGAAGAATCATGTCTAATTTTGCCCTAGGACTTGTGCTATCTTACTGAGAAACTAAGGACAGCACATCTGCTCACCATTTAGGAAGCATGTAGAAGTAATTAAACTACCTACTTTTAAGGATTTGTGCCTAATCAAACTATCAAGACTGCAGTCATTACAAAAGTAAAACAATATAGGGTAAGTAGCTTTTTTGCAGGACAACTTCTTTTTATTTGTAATTTAAATAGCTTCCCTGATTACAAATATATATTTGTATATATTAAGCCTCTATATATTAAGCCATCCTCCAAACAAAATGACAAGAGAGTTGTGCACTCTCATAAAATTTATCATAAATAAGCATTGGACCAGTGAAAATCAATGCATGATGCTTGGCAGTTCGGGTTCTTCATACCTAGCCGTTCTTAAATAAACAGCAGGTAACACACACTGCTATATTTTGATTTCTAATTTCATATATTCTTACTCATGAGTTGATCAGGATGAACATGTCTGCCCAAAGAAGGCAGGCAGCCATTAGTATGATTAGAGTTGTATAGTGTTGTAGTGGCACCATATAGCATGTGCGCTAAAAACAAACATTTGTTTCAACCACTTCTCTCAACGTTTCCATTCCATTCAATCTATTCCAACAAGCTAAAAGAACATGTGACAAGTTCCTGGGATAGCAATAATTCTTTTCAGAAGTACTATACCACTTTAGTTTTCTTTTGTAACCCAAGTCAAAGCACATTCTCAGTAAGTCCTTAAGTCACTGAATGTAGCCAGCAACATTACTGAAATAATGTAATACACAAATATTACTTACAGAAATTCCTGGATTTGATAGTTCACCGAGAAGCTTTTTGGCATCTGTTATAGCTTGATACAGTCTCAAATGCTGGCCGTCACTTGCAACAAAGCAAGCACTTGGTGAGTTACAATATGCACCTAAAGGAAATTATGAGCAATCTAAATACAAAGGATAGAGAGTACCAATACATCCATCCTCTTTTTATTTGGGTTTAATTCATTATAATGTTTCTACAGTAGCCTCCACAATGCTTATTTACAAGAAATAAAACTTACCTAAACAGAAACTAGGTATAAGGGTAGGGAGCCATGCCACATTTGAAAAAGCCGATACATGAAGAGAATTTATTCGTGCAAGTTCAGAAACTCCACCAGAAAAAGACAGTGGCCCAACCGGATCAACTCTCCAGAGGATAAGTTCACTGTAAACAGTATTGAGATCTTGCGATGTACTTGCAGTGCCTTTGTGAAGCTTTGAGGATGCCTCTTTGCTGCTATCCACTACCGGTGTCCGTATTGCATTATGATGAGAGGTTGTCAGTAGCAATGGAAGTACTGAATGACAAGCCAAGTCATTAAGATGGAACCGATGTCCACAGTATCGTGATTTGTGGGAAATACTGAGCACAATTGAAAAAGCAGATTCCTCGGCAAAACTGACTAGCCATTGGTTTAGAGACCCATCTGCATGTTTGGAAATCATCATAACATTTGGAGTAAAGATGCTTAATTTTAAGCTGTTCGATGATTTATTATGGCCTGAAGAGATTAACATAGAGGATGAATGACCAAGGCTAGATGTTTTTTGTTTGCCTTGTTGAAGAGCAAGATCAACATTCTTGGTACAAGCGTACATCACTATACTTCTGCAAAGTGAATTTGCATCACCAGTAGGAAAGGCTACAGGGATCCTTGAAACAAATGATACCTAAAATATTTTTTTTTAAATAGGGAAAAAGATGAATTAGAATCAAATTAAACTTGAAAGCTCTTTTATTATTTTATGAAGAAAAACCACAGTACCTGTACTTGGCGAAACATGCCTGGCTGGTATTCATCTAGCCAATCAACATGCCATACTAGCAAAGACCCATCCATAGGATGAATACTAAACAACATGTCTGCATTTTTATTCCATTCAGAAAGCTGTACTTCAATCTCATGATCAATAACAGAAGAAGACATGAGAACACAGCTTGGATTTGGAACTGCTTTTTCATCAGTAAGTTCTCTCTGTTCTTGATATCCTTTCTGATCTTCTCTATTATCATCCGTTTCTGGTGGAATTAAAAATGTTACTAGAAATCTACACATTAAAGCCGTAAGTAATATGCTCTTTTAAGTGCATTTCCTAGAACTAGCAATTATAACAAAATAAGCATTTTCTATACTAATATAACTTGTTAGATTTTCATATTTAATATGCTTAGTTTATGAAGAACATTCTTGTAGCTGGACAAGAAATCTATTTTCCCAAAAATTCCTGATTGCATGTGGAAAAGCTTAACCCACTGAGCTTCAGTTATTTGAGAGAAATAAAATCTGAGAAAATCCATGATAGACATCAAACACAATTCAAAACAGAGGTGCATTCACGCATCATAGGCTTGTATATAGTTAACACAGAATAATCTTGTACATGACTACACATAAGTAAGCTCCCTTTTATTCCCAGATAAACAGATACAGGATTATAGCCACAGTGCATTAAGTGTTTGAAAAGATTCTGAAGTAGATAACTCTAAACAGTTTTGAATTACATTGAATATTGTCTTATTCCATGCAATATATTCATGGGCAGCATTAATCACATTGACTACAATTTCAGATTTTATTTATTGGATATACTTTCTGTCCCATTATCCAGCAAGGCTCTCTGGGTGGGATAATATAATTTATATTATATTTCCACCTTTCCTCCTCTCAAGGAACACAAAGTGCCTTACATAATTCTCCTCCTCCTCTCAATCTTATCCTCACAACAACCACCCTGTGAAGTAGAATGGGCTGAGAGTCTGTGAGTAGCCCAATGTCACCCAGTGGTTTCCATGGTTGAGTGGAGACTAGAACCCAGATTGCTTGAGTCCCAGTCTTGCACTCTTAACCACTACACAAGATACCTTGACAATCCTGTCAAAAACATGTAATTGATTCAACAGAAATTGGAACACTTGATGGCAGTGATACACAAACACATGCATACGTGCTTTTGCAATGATCACTTAGGTGTCCAAAGTGCTTGAAAGATTTAGTGCTTGTGATCAACTGGGAGCCACAGTATGCTTCAGCATCAGTTCTTCCTGCCATAAGTTTGTAATTCCATATTATATTAGAAATTGCTCATTTTTCTTTGCCATATTGGACTCCTATTCTTTTCAATTGAGACCTCTGTCATTTTAAGTTCAGAAACCTTTTGTGGTAATTTAAGGGAAGCAAGCATGTGTTTGACCAAACTCACCCATCTGTCCTTGGTATACTAGTGTTTAGCGTAAATAATGGGAGAGAGACATCTGTTCAACCAGAGCCATGCCTTCATGAGGCATACCCCTTGCTCTGAGCGCGAGGTGTGTACAATTTGGAAAGATTTAGGTCAGTCCTGTGACCTCAGGCTGAGCATGTGCCCTGCCTTCTCATAACTCATGTGGAAGGAACTGCACTCCCTGCCCCTACCCCGGAGATCAAAACCACATCACATAGAAAGTGGGCACGCTGGGTGCAGGAAGAAGGGGAGGCTGGAGGTGCAGACTTCACCAATTCTAATCAGCTTCTCCAGCTCTACATCTACACAAAAATGATGGTCTAGGGAAATACCCAGCAGAAGGCAAAACAGTAACTGAGATCACTAATGCAGTGCCTTGTACCAGGCAGAGGATGAATATAAGCCTCTGAATTCAGAGGCTTGCATACATCTGCTTTAGGAGTGATGGAATCATGCCTTTCAGGGAATTATTCAAACTGTAGATAGTCAGGGTCTTCAAAAATTAAGAGATTTCCACACTTGGGACTCTAATCTAAGCAGGATGATCTTTTAAGAGTGACTTTATTTTCTCTTTATTTTTTCTAGATATATCACAAAGGGATTTAAAATGAATTTCAATTGTATAATGTTCAAAATATCAGTTATGCAATCCACTAGTTTAATATTTAGTTTCTGTTACAGAACATGTATTCTTTAAATGAGTAAAGTAAATCAACAGCGTGCTTTTTACCTTCATCAGCTTTTATATCCATCTGATTAGTTTCTTCAGTGCTGGTTTCTGAAGAAATATGCTCAAAATTCTTTTTAAGTTGTTGTAAAAAGACTTCCATTGATAGGGTAAAATGCAATTCTTTATTATTTAACCAGTGTACTACAAAAGGCCCACTTTTTTCTTCATTTTCATTGAGACTCAGAGACATGATGGAAGGGAGAAGAGGAATGTCTGCAAGCAAAAATGTAAACTTACATTCAGAGCAGAGGTAACACACATTTAAATGATATTTTGTTTTTACAGGGTTAAGTGTAATATAGATGGACATTAAAAACATGCACCACAACCACAGGATAGTTAATTTCAGCCTTTTTCAGCAGCAAACACAAAAGGAGAATCTTGCATCATATGACTTAACAGAGGTCTATCTTCATTAATCAGGGAAAAGTCATTCATAGGACTACCAATAACTAACCTGAGCTCCAACCAGCATTACATGAGCAGATTTCTACAGAACCAATGGGACTTCCCTTCCTATCCTCCCCTGCATCTTCCCACACATACTGAAAATCTGCTCCAGAATGTCCCTTGACAATTGAGCTAATTTGGGGGACACACAAGTGTTTCATGGCAGAAGACAAACCTGTTTTACCTGTGATCTCTGTTCCACTGATGCATGGATAGTACTGGATGAAGTATAGATTCAAACTATGAATCGATTTCTTTAGCACTAAAGCACCCTAAAAGTTAAATATATGCACATTCCCTGATCCTGACCATCTAAGCTAATGCAAATGTGACTGCGTGCAGATATATCACAGATATCACAAAGATTAATGGCTGAAATCTAAGTGCTTTTTTGGTGGGTGGGGAATACACCGAAGGATTTGGAACATGCCACTACAATGCCTGGCTTTTTCTCTAAAGAGCAGAATCCTATGTTATAAAACAAACTTTTGAAATTCCCTTCATTTTCAAAAGAAATGTGTTATGCAACTTCAGGAAAGGCAAGTTGCTTACCTATAACTGTCATTCTTCAAGTGGCCACCTGTGCATTCACGGATGTGGGCACTGTGCCTGCGTGGAACCTGTTTCCAGGAAGATTTAGTAGCTAAGAACGTATTGGCAGGAGGCCCCACTCACCTTGCCCCCAGCATCCATTAGAAGAGTAAGGAGTTACTGCTCTTTCTCTCAGTTCCGAATAAGACTGCCAGCCTGGCCTTGGGACTGAGGGAGGATCAATAGTACTGACCTTGCATTCGGCAAAGCCAATATTGTACAAGGGACACAAACAAAAAATAAATGAAACACTGATGCTAAGTAACTCACAACATTCAGTGGAGTTGGTGGGTGAGTTCTGTGAATGCACAGATGACCATTTGAAGAATGACAGTTAAGGTGAGCAACTAGCCTTTCTCCTTCCTGGTCCCTGTGCAGCACACGTATGGGTGACTAGTAAGCTTACCAATTCCTGAATGGTGGGTTGGTGTTGTCATGGGAGAATTGATGAGAAGACTGTTCCCCAAAACTCAGTTGGCCCTGGTACAAACATCAAATTGATAGTGGTTTGTGAAGGTACATAGTGTCAACCAGGTTGCCACCTTGCATAGGTCCTGAAGTGGAATGCTGGCATAAAGCACCGTCAGAGTTGCTCCGGCCAAATTGAATGGACTTTTCTGTGGAACTGAAAGCTGCAAACCTCACAGTTCATAGGTCAATGAAATTGTTCCTACCAGCCAGGCTGAGAATCTTTGAGGTTAAAAGGGCTGACCCCATTACAAATAAAAAATCTCTGGGTATGCTGAAAAGATTAAATCCTGGAGCAGTAGAATGTCAGCACTCTACACACATCCAGCATGAACAGCAAGAACTCCACCAGGCTGGATGGGGATGGAAAAAATGATGGTGAAATGGAGTCTTGGTTTGAATGAAAAGAAGAAATTATTTTAAGGAGAAAAGAATTATCTGGTTGCAACACCATTATCTGGTCCCGATGAAAGACAAAGTATGGAGCATCTATCCATAGGGCACAGAGTATACTGGAGAGGCAAGTGTTAGATATCAAATAAGCAGGGAAATGTTTAGTCCCTTCAGAAAGTGCCTACTCATTGCGTTTGTGAAAACAGCATGGACTGTGCTGTGGAAGAAGGGTGGCTGCCAGCTAAACTCTGATGAATATTTCAGTCCACACTGGAGCAGCATGTCCAGGTAGAAGAGCGTTTGTTCAATCATGCAGCTGTGTGGATTGAGCATCCCCCTTTGAGCATCGACCAAGAGGCAGAAAGCTTACCATTTCATTGTTCCTGGTCTCCTGGTTGCTGGTTTCAAAGCTGCCTTGAGTAAGGTGCTTAATTCAGCATGGAGAACTGAATGTATTTGCCCTAGGGACAGATCCTCCATGCTGTCAGGTGAAAGGTGAAGAAAGGGCTCAAAGAAAAACAAAAGGATGATCTGGGGCCTGGGAACAAAGCCCTATGAGGAGAGATAGAAAGAACCGGGCATGTTTAGCCCCAAGAAGAGAAGACTGAGTGGAGATAGGATGGTACTCTCCAAGTACTTGAAAGGATGTCACCCTGAGGAAGGCCGTGATCTCTTCTCAATCATCCCAAAGTACAGAACAATGGATAACAGGTTCAAGTTACAGAAAACCAGATTCTGGTTGACACATCAGAAAGAACTTACTGTTAGTGCAGTACAACAATGGAACCAATTCCCTAGGGAAGAATTCTCAGTAGGGCTGTGGGAGAGGGGACATGGACCATCTGTAACTGTTCAAGGGGGAATGAGAATGATCCCTTTGACTGTTGATTCTGAGTGGCTCCAGTGGATATTGGTCCAGTGATGGTGCAATTGGCTCCCTCAAAACCATAGTCAGTGGGAGAATGCAAAATTTTCCCTCGTCTCCTGCTCTGATACTGAGGCTGACATGGATTCAAACTTTGGTGAAAGCAATTGGTTCTTGGTGAAGGCATCTTCATTGACAATCGGTTCTGATGTGGCCAGTACCAGCCAAGAGTCCATTCAGTTCTGCTAGGGTTTGGCAACTAAATTTCTGCTGCTTTCACCTCTTGGTCAACTTTATGACCTTATTGAGTTACAACTTCCTAGTGTTGGAGGGGGTGACTGAGCTATAGACAGAGCAGTGGTGCTGGCAAGACATGGACCTCTGTGAGATCACAGAGGCAGCAGTGGACAAGTGGGAAAGCTGAAGCACTGACCACTCTGAGAGCTTTGTTCCACAGCTTGGTATAGAGATGGTCAGCACTGTACATGCAGGCCTGCTTCTTAAAAGCTTGGCAGTGGGGCACTGGTTGACTATGTGCTCCTCATCCAAGCAGAGAAAGCATGAAGTGTGCCCATTGATCGGCAGCAACTTTGGGCTGTACTGCACAAACTTGCAGAAGGTACCTCTGACAGCACCAAAACAAAGAATAGAGTGCAGAAACAATAGAACAAGAGTAAACTAGAGTTAGAGCAGTGGAAGAAAAATGTTCACAAGAGGAGGAAGAAATTGTGTTTATCGAAAAAGAATTTTTGAGAATAAATAAGAGGAAAATGCTCAAGAAAATGTAATAAGAGAAAGAGCTTACTAAGGCACTGAAAGCAGTTGAAAAAGAACTGAGGGAAAGGGAGGGAACACCTCTCTTCTATAATGGATGTTGGTATGGGACAGGGGTTACTGCCAAAATTCTCTTAGCTGCTAAATCTTTCTGGTAAGAGGCTCCATGCAAGTGTAGACCCATATGTGTGATGCACAGAGTCCATGAAGGAGGGAGGCCTACCATTTGAGAAACAAAGGTATGACTAGCCATATAGAATGAAACGTACTGTCTCTGAATATTGGATTTTGAAAAGCAGCTGCTCTTCAACCACTACTACAATAGTAATCATGTTTACCCCAACATTTCCTTCTAATAGTCCATTAGCGTGTCTATTTCATTATACTGTGTTTCAGTGATCTGTACACCACTTCAAGTACTCATTGGGCTGAACCCAATCATATACTGAATAGAATACAGCAATATTTCATCTGATTCTATAGCACCAGAGGCTGAATTGCCACACAGTAAGTGCAACAATTGCTATGTAACACATAACCATTTAATACAAGATAGCTTAGGATTGTACTTAATACCACCATCAAAACCTATGTGATTACATAGCCTAGTTTTATTTGATTGTTACTGATCTCCCTTGTCACCATTATTTTTCTCTCACATAGAACGTGGATCTGAACATGGCCAATTCAACTTGCCACTGCTGTTCTGATCCAGTTAACATGGACTATATTCTGTTAATTTTATCTCCAAGAACAGATAAAATTCTTGATTTGAAATCCATGTATCAGACTTGTGCCACAACAATTTAATGAATTCTGATACAATTATATTCGTTCTGCAGCAGTGTTTTGAAACAAAAACTATTAGTAAACACCGGGTTGTATTTAATAATGTTAGTCTAATTTAATTCTTATTCATTCTCCAATGGGTCTGTATTAAGTAGGACTAGCACAAGATACAAGCTACTATAAAATGTCCCATAATGTAGTATCCAGTACAACAAGCCTATATTCTTCATCACCTGTGGTTGGATTGATGCTGGCAGCAATATGAAAGTGACATAGTGCATTTGATTGCAGTGGAGTGTTTCGATGAACTTCATGAGGATCTTGCTGATGTGGCAAGTATCCAGTATGTGCAAGTGCTATTGATCTTCTTCTTCCCCGTCGAAAGGGCTTTAGATTTAACTGTTGGGAGTTTGAATACTGTAAATCTGTTCATATAAAATATTCAAATGCAGAAAAAATATTTTCTACAGTTTTTTTCTGTACAATGTAATATTCATTTTAAACAGGAATTGAAGATCACTGTATGCATTACTGCTAATGCACTTTAATGAAAATAGAAATTTTATGCAAAGAACTGCTTAATACAAAATTTAAAAATAGCAAATTAATTAAATGCCAAGGCCATTCTTTTCTCAACACTAAGCATTTAGTCTTGATAGCAATTTAAATACATGGGGTTGTATTTAATGTTACTACAACCAAAGTTCCATTCATTTCGATGGGACTATAACTAGATGCAACACAAATTACAAACACCTGGTAGGCTTAGCTTCTTACCTCCAAAACATTTTTCATGCTTTCTTTACTTGAAGCATTCCTTTTAAAGTTATTAGTTAACTTCACTGGTTCAGGCAAATGGCTGTATCCACCTCCATACAGCAAACTATCATTGGGCAACAAAGTCTCAGCCCAGAGACGGCAGATATTATCTTTGCAGCATGTCAACAGTACATTACAAACAGCACCGCTAAAAAAAAGTGATGTTAAGAGAGTTTACTAATTTCATTGACTATGATTTCAGAATACAACACAGAGCTATTATCCACAACAGAACATATTTCTGGCTTGAAGCCAGTTATTTTAGACAACACATATATATGAATAACCACTTGAAAGTAACATTACATAGTAGTAACATTACATAAAAAGTAACATATTAAGATGCTGTGTTTTTTTCTATCTATGTTGTGTTTTATTCTATTTTGTCTTATTGTTAAACCGTCTTGAGACGATGGTAAGGACAGTCTAAAAATTTTTAAATAAATAATAATTTTATTTTTTTTTAGAATGCAAGACTAACTACCAGTTGATTATTAGTAACCTACTGAAGTAACATACTTAGCACCAGTGCAAGCTGTCCCACTGCCCAATAGAGAACTGCCACTATTAGCTGATTCTGACACCACTGCCTCTGTCTCCCCACTCACCCACCACGTCTTTCTCCTTCCTCAGCACTAATCACACCTGTCTGCCTAGCCCATGCTCATTTCTCCACTAATTCTCTTTCCCTCCTTCCAACAATGGTGGTAGGTCCTCCTGCCACAAGAGGAAGTATAGAGTTCCCCAACTGGCCCACTCTGTTGCCTGAGGTGAGGAAGTCAACTTGCCTCATGAGAGGGCCAGACCTGAGTACAGTTCATATTAGGGTGCCTGAAACAAGAGTGGGCTTGGGTATGCTGGGTCACCGAGATAAGCTTCACAGTTTCTTTCCTCATAGCCAAGTATATTTGGATGTGATATATTGTCCATACAATAATGGTGAGGAGAAAAACCTCCCCACACACCTCAGTACTATGGGTATACCTTTTGCCACAAATACGTGCATTCATCTTAAGGAAAAATGTGATGTGTTAACTGGCTCTCATTCAAAAGCCATGTTTGGATCACCATCTATAAAGCCAAGTCCTGACAGAATTTTGGCAGCAATAATGGAAACCTAAAATATGGCCGTGATCTGCCAATATCTCACAATGCTACTAAATTAAAGGTACTTGTGTGTTCTCTCATCCCATATGGCCTAAGATATGTGGTTAAGTCTCTAACAAATTTTAAGTCACATTTCAATGGCACCAGAATGTTGCATGACAGACCCTCAGTATGTGAGGATATCTGGTTCATGAAGCTGTAAACTGTGGTAGAGATGTCACTGATTGTGGCATTTTAAAGAAGTAAATTGCATGACTCAGCAAACAACACCAGCGTTCCCTCCATATCCACAGATCCACAATTCAACAGGATGTTGAACAGATAACATTACCAGTCGTAGGTTCACAGTTCTGACTTTGCCCAATAATTAAGCAGCCATGGCTAATTAAATTGGTACATTTTTGGAAGGACACTGTTTTAGAAACACAGTGTTTTCAAAACAATGTACAGCAAGTCGTTATCCTCACCGTGGCATGTAGTTGCTTGTTTTTCGCCATGAAAACCCATTCACAGATCGAGGATGAACTAAGTAAATAAATGAGAAACCCACTTCCTGTGAGGTTGTTTCAGGTGTTGCAATTTGAGATCCAACTGCTGATTTCCAACTATCAGTGTTATACCACACCTTTACGAGACAATCATCCTGGCCCCAAAAGAAAAAAAGGCAGTGTAGTTTAGTATGTCATTTCTCTAGCTGCTACTCAGGTATCATTCTTCAACACTATCCTTCAATGGATTTTCAACATGCTTCTTATGAGACTCATGTAAAAATTGATGGCAACCTTGTAATGACATTTTCCCTCTAAAAAATAACTTTGATATTTGTAATTCTTCTTACATTATTTTCAGTCAGCCCTATATTATTCACCAAATTCACTTTGTGTCGGGGAAGGTCCGAAGCAGACCTGGGCTGCTTCTGTCTTTTGCAAAGGCCAGCAAGCAATGTGAGAGAGGAGGCTCGTTTGAAGTCTTTGCCCATTACAGAGAACACTGGAGGGATGCTTTCAACTCCCTAAGTAATTGCATGACACCTCTCCCTTTCCATGCTCTTTTTGCAATGTTTGGATAGCACAGAGGAAGACTGAGGATCTCACTTCACAATGGTGTCTTGAACAGGAATAAAAATCTGCAGTCCCGGTAAAGTGTGCTGTTACATTTTTGCTACTCCTTTTCCCCAGTCTCACATTCCTGTTTTATGTGCCTGTTCTCTACACTTGCTGGAAAATAGTTCCCCCTGCAAGCAAGCACATTCCAGCTTTAACTGCATGGGCAAAAACAAAAAAATAGCTTAGATAGTAAGTTTATCAAAACAACCAGTGTTAATGTAGGGATATCTCTTTAAATGAGATTCCTGTAATAGTAGCTGCTCTTTTATCTTAGGTTGGCAGCGGGGTCAAACATGTGAATATCACAAAAAGCTATTCTCTCTAAAATACCACCACCATCACATGAATATGCCTTGGGGAAAATGCTGTTGTGGCTAATAATTGCAATATTATGCTTCTGCAGAGGAAATCAATCCAAAGAGTACAAGAGCTGTGAAGGAAAATACATTCAGAGAAAAACAAGACACTGTATTTCAAACAAATTGATCTTTTAGCAGAGATTCATTTTATGAATATGAATTACTTCAGGGAGCAATGGGAAATTATATAACATGAATTAAATAGTATTCAAGAATACTAACCTATTTGTTAAATCATTTCTTCTTCCAGGGAACTTGAGAGAGCTCTGTACCATTAAAATAATTCCAAGCTTGTGTACTTTGGCTTTGTAAAGACCACACTTTCATTGTTGTGGTTCGTTTCATATAGGTTTCCAAAATACATATCTAACCATCACCAGCACCACCATTGTATTACATTTCTTTCTTCCTCTCTCTTCCTCTCTTCTTGTATTACACCTTTCTTCCTCTTGCAAGGACTCAAAGTAGCTTATAAGGTTCTCCAACTCTGTACTTTACCTTCACAACAAGTCTATGAGGTGGATTGGCTGAGAGTGAGTGAATTATCCAAAGTCACCCAGTGAGCTTCATAGCCAAGAGTGGGTTAGAACATGACCTTCCCAAGCCTCAGTCCAACACTCTAACCACCACACTAACTCTTCAGTCAGTTAAATTGTACTGCCTTGTATTAAGATTCCTTTCTTAAAACAAGCTAGTCTTTGGCCAACATGGAAACTCACTGACTGTTAACATACCCATTCACAACTGCTTAATATGTTATACTGGATCACAACAGGCACACTTGAATATATTACAGGGATGGCCAGACCTGCTTAACAGAAGAGCCACAAATGGTAAACGTCAAGGTGTTTGAAAGCTGCAAGTGGGTGCTCACAGGCAGTGATACCAGGTTGGCACCCACAGTGGTAAGGCACAAAATGAACTCAAAGAGCTGCATGTGGCTACTATTTACACAGATGTAAGATTGCTTGCTTAGTGAACCCCTTGTCTGAATGACTGAAACAGTTATATGTAAGGCTACTTTTGAAAATAGTTTGGCATCTACAGCTGTCCAACACAGGGCACTGTGATTCCTAGCAGGAACTGCCTAATATGATAAACTTATTAGGCCAGTATTTTACTATCTGCACTGGCTGTGAGTCCATTTTTGGGCCCAAATTCAAGTGCTGGCATTAATATTCAAAGTCCTAAATGGCTAGGAGTCCAGTTATATGCAAGACTATCTTTTCTCGTATATACCTATCCAAACCCTAGGATGGTCTTCAGTGGTCCTTCTCCAGGAGCCCCTGCCAAAGGAAGTGAAACGGGTGCCTATAAAGAAGAGGCCTTTTCTACTGTGGGTTTTCCAGAGAAGTTCACCAGGGATCTATGCTGTGCTCCATCAGATAAAAAGGTTTTCCCCCATATTCTAGTTCTTTGGTTTCTGATGGTTTAAATAAGTTATTGTATTTTAAATCTTTATATTTCTGCAATATTTTATTTGGAATCTTATTTTTATATTAACTGTAATTTTAAACTTTTGAATTGCATTTTACCATGCTGTACTTATAGTTTAAATTGTTGTGAACTGTCTAGAAAGATTCAGCTACCAAATTGTATAGAAACGCAATTTAATAAAAATAACAACTAGAAAAAGATGACATATAAACTGAAATCATAAATAAATTTGCAGTTCTATCTTGTTTACCTTCCCTGCAGTGGCAAAAAACTCCCCATCTGGTGAAAACTTCATTAAATGAACCTCAGAAGCAGTCCTGTAAAAGGGAAAGAATGTTAAACTTTACTGGAAACTTCAACAATTTAGTAAAATTGGAACATGGCAAAATGTTAGCAAAGTTGGAAAACAGCTACTTTGAAACTATCATTTCTTGTTGCTGATTAATATAGTCAAATCAACTCTCCCTTCTTATATGGACTCTGCTCAGAATAAATCCTAAGATGATGCAGCAGGTTCATTTCACTGCTAACCTTATCAAAAACATTTACATTAGATTTTTCATGGCTGTTATCAGAATTGTACATATGGCAAGTGCAGTGTGCTTATATCTTATGTTTCCACATCTGAGTTTTGGACTTAGGGTACTTAAGAGTTTTATTTTGTTTCTCTGAAGTCACATTAAAAAGTTTCAATTTATTTTACAAACACTGCATTTAAGAAATTCTACTGAACTCTATTTAGTTCTTAGTCCCAGCATTTCTATCATTGGTTTATGTTGGGAGATTTTACCATGCATCCAAGCCAAAGAACAATTTAATCAAGCAGCACTATAATGTTTTAGGACTAAATTGAGGACAGGAAGTGGAAATCACATACATGTCTAAGCAAAAAGTAATTATTCCAGGGCATTGCAAAGTTATTAGTGCAATGATCATGTAGGGATTCCCTACCCTCAGCCACCACAGTTCTCAAGGAAATATGGTTTTAATTAATTCATCCTGATGCATCAGGGGGGCGGGGCGGGGGGAGATTGTCCTATTGAAACTTCTGTCTGCCTAGACCAAAGTGGTTCTTCCTCTTTTGTTTGTTCTTCCTCCGTAAGACCCAAAGCTCATGTCTCTCTGTTTCAAGACAGGCATGGCACCAGTTTACTGAAATCTCACACTAAAATCACTTGGTTCCTGGTCTGTGACACAAACACAGACAATATACTATACTGCACTGCTGAATTACAGCAGGCTCCAAGGCTCATATCCACTCTTTAGCTGTACAACCAAGTTCTCCGGTTGCATTCAATGGAGCTCTCGGTCCCCCCTCAATGAAATCACTTGTAGCCAAAGAACCCTGGATTCTGCCACTGTCCCATTACCCCTTTCCCCAGACCACCCAACTGAGCCTGTTTAGGTCCTTTTCTAGCTGAATTAATCAGCTGCTGCCTTTCTCAATTCTTTCTGCTGCTGTAACCTAGATTTGCTGTAACATCTCTCATATCCAACCACTGTCTTCGGGAACAATCCATCAGGATTCTAGAACAGGTATCATTTACACTGTCTTCTGCAGGATCTTTTCCGTGCACTACAAACTCTAATCCTTTACCTGCTTCCTCATATGCACATATGTGAAGAGGAGGAATTAGTTCTGTTTTCCAATAAGTTTTTGATTAGAAAGCTAGTCATTTTGATCCAGTGGACACAATCAGAGCCAGGCTTCCTTTTCCACTGTCATCTGCCAATTCTTCTACAATATTTAGCTGACATGCAGGTGGCTGAGAAGAGCCACCTGTCAAACCTGTAAATCCATAACCATTTCCCTGAGGTGGATTATGCAGAAGGGACAAGTAATTGGTGTGAGTGTACATAGCTTAGGTATCACATTGAATCCCTTCCTCCACTTTCCCAGAACTTCTAGAACTGAGACTGGATTAACCCTGACCTCTCCAAACCTTAATCCAACCCAGACTCAGCATTTAAGTATGCAGTCTAGTCGTTCTTTCTGGTTCACCATACGTGGTTGATGAAGATCAGGAATATGAAGGAGGCAGTTGGGTTATGCCAAAAGTTTGCACTAAGATGTTGCTAGAAGCATGTTACACAAGTAGGCAGTAAAATTCAGGTAAACTATCCAAGCACCAGAAATACAACAAAAGGAACTTTGACGACTTCTGAGTTACAGTGGAAGTGAGTTCTTTAGACTCTGGAATATAAGCATTTGTTAAAAATAAGGAACTTGGTGAATCAGTGGATCTGCACAGTGAGAGAACAGTTTCCTAATACGTGGTAGAAGTACTGGAAAGAAATTCTCCCATAATACCAGCATGCATCGAGATACATTTGTCATGACATGTCACCAATGTTTAAAGGCCCTTTAATAAAACACATCTTTAAATGTTTGTGTCCTTGCTTTCATGTTCAGAGAGAACATTTATCAATACTTTAAGAACATCTTTTAAAGCCACTGATAAATGCCCTCAAAAAGATCTTCTAAAAAAAAAACAAAAAACAAAAATGAATGTATTTTACTTGACATTTTAAACACTGTTAAGTTACTTTACCTGACTGTTAGCTTTACTCTTGAACTGTCCACTAGGGCCATATACGGGTAAATAATCTTACGCTGATTATAGGGCACTTCTAGAACTTCACCCAGAGCCAAAGCACTTGCAACTGTAATTCTTGGTGGGCAAAATGCCTTGGAGCATTGTATAGGCCACTACGAGATCAAGCAATCCAAACTTTCTGTGGCAATTAAGTACACCAGCATTTGTTGTGCTTATGGGACTATAAAGTGGGAGACTGACCATTTGAAAACCTGGACATATTGTGTTGTGCAAACCGAGGGACCAAGGGCCATATGTACACGTTATGCAATCTAGGGTCTGTTGTTGGATTCTGTAAAAGTTATTTAGCCCTCACATAATCCACGGTTCCTCAATTCACACATTACAAGTCACGGTCAGGCACTGACTATTTAATATGGCTACATGCCACCACACACTGTAGCTAGATAAGCTATGGCAAGCTGTTTAATCATGTGAGCAGGGCCAATGGTTTTAAGGCTGCACTAGGATGTGACAGAACAGTCTGCTTCTTGAAAACAACAGAAAACCTTATACAAATTCCTGGATATATGACAGGTATGTGGCTTTACACAGAGAGATGTAGTCTACAGAAAGCATGTAGCACTGATGCTCGAAGCAAAAAGTATCACAGGGCATATGCAAGGTGATATCTAAATCTGCTGACCTGTATGATGGGGAGAAGTGCTTCAAGACTGTATCACATTTCCCAGAAAAGCTTGGGACTGGCCAATTTATAGCGATCCCTATGGGTTAGCTGGCTGAATAGTGATGCTTTGCATGCTTCTGGAGGTTCCTGAGAACAACTCCCTTTAATCTCATCAATAGCAGAAGTGAAAATACCAGGCTTAACAACCAGGTTCCCTAGACATTTTGGCCTACTACCCCCATGATGCCAGCCAACATGGTCAATGTCTCACAGTATGGGAGCTGGAGCAAAAAAACAAAAACAAAAACTGGAGATTACTGAACTTTTTTTAACCCTGCATATAAAATTACTTTGCTGCCACAATGTACCAGTTTCTTCTAGTTCCTATCATATCTCCAGGCCTCTGACTGCTCCTTCTTTAAAGCAAATGGATTCTTGAGCAAAGGTATTAACGTAACAAAAAGACTAAGCACAAACACATGTTCAGAAAATCAACATGTCTGTAATCCTTTAACAAAATCTGGGTCATTTGCTGAACATAAGGGAGGACAACAGTAATATACAAGGAAACAAGTACATCCTATATCAGTTCTTAGCACTAACATGGTTACATCATGAAATACATAATTTGCTCATTCTCTCCCTTAAGCCAAATGTATTGGTATTTTTACTCTTAGTATTTATCAATTAAGTAGATTATGTCCCAACTCCAGTGAAGTTTAAAAGATAACTAAAGTACTCTTTTAATATTTCTTACTTGCACTGCCAAATGACTTTCCAATACTGAGCATCTGCTTTTTCTTGGTTTTCATCTTCTGAATGAGTTTCAACATTGCCATTGGACCAGAGCTGCAGACAGCTGGAACTAGTCAAAAGACGAGAGCCTAGGTTTTGCAAATTTTTATAAACATATTGATTAGAATGGATAGTCGGTCAAGCTGTACACCGCAAAATATATGCTTTAACACTAAAGATGAACAGTTTTAACTACAAGAAACAACCATTAACACAATTTACAATACAAAAAGAACTATCCTTTAAGATGGTGAACTTATTTGACTAAATGAAAATTTATGACCACAGATAAAAGTTAATTAGCAAAAGTAAAAATTGCAATCCAGCCAGCAAAACCCCATTTTTGTTTATTGTCCAGAAGAAATCAGTCTAACTCTGTCCAACAACATACTTCAGCATTTGCTCTGACCATACCTAGGTTAAACACTTTTTTGCACTACTAACAGAAAGTGATAACACTGTGGAAAAGAATAGTTTCATGAGGATAAAGATGATGGGATGTTTAAGGAATTATAAAGAATTAAAAGGAATGTTTCCTCATGATTAAATATGAATCAAAAGAAACAATAGATCAAAAAGTCTTGAAAGATGACATGTGGAAGCCATAAACTACCATTTTAATTAGCCTTTTAAAATTTGGCTACACACCTAAATGTATCAAATGCCACAGCTGACACTCTTCTGTTCTTGTAAGCCTTGGTATCAGTGCTACTATTTGGTTGAGGAACTATTTCTATGCATTACTGAACAAGAGCTTAAAGGTCAATGTCAGACTTTGAAGCTTTGAGGG